CAAAAACTAGTTACGTGATGCTAAAACTCCCCATCACACAGGATGGTTAGTCATACAAGGCCAACATGGTCTTGTATGACTAACAGGGCCATATGATGGTCCAGCCATGTGATCAGTAGTCTGCAGTGGCAAACTCTGGGTGCATTATAAGGATATCAAGAACACGAGAGTGAATAATGTAGCAGTGATACTAAAAAGTTCCCATCTCGCAGGATGGCTACTCATACAGGGCTATGTGATCAGTAGCCTACACTGACAAATTTTGGGTGCACACTGAGGATATCCTCAAGAACACGAGAGTTAATAAAGTAATTACAAAGCTCCAGGTATGGGTAAATACTGGTTCAGTAACAGGGTTGTTGATTTGTGGAACCAATTGCCGCGTAACATTGTGGAGGTGGGGTCCCTCGATTGTTTCAAGCGCGGGTTGGACATGTATATGAGTGGGATTGGGTGGTTATAAATAGCAGCTGCCTCGTATGGGCCAATAGGCCTTCTGCAGTTGCCTTTGTTCTTATGTTTTTACCTCATGCCAACGGGTCTGAATTGTCTAATAGCTGAGCATTCAGTGATGTAGTGTGTGAGATCATTACCCAGTTCCTGCTCAGAGGTTGTACCTGGAGTACTAAGGATTGGGAGATCCGTCACCTGTAGACACCTGCCACAGGTAACGGTAGGCCCAACCTGATTCTGGAAACGACTGTGTCGCACAGTGGTTGCGAAACAATGGTGAGGTACCCCACCTCTTTATCTGTACCCCACTGGTGAGGTACAGATATTGAGGAATATCAGTGACAGGTAGATTGCATTTAAAAGGAACGCTCAGCTGGATGAGATTGTAGACATTTTTATTCAGCATTTATCATATAAGGAGTGAGTTGGTAAGTTGGCACCAGTCAATAGCTTTACAGGCTTGGATACAACATCTAATAGAAATGAAAATACAGTACAGTAAGTGTGAACTATGCGCTATGTTAGAGCCTCACACCCCCACCTATTATGTTCTTGATCGCCCGTTGATTAATGTATATAGAGCTAATGAGATAATACAGTTCCTGGTCATAATGGGAAGATGATATTCTGGAGAGATACAAGAATTTTGCACCAAGATTGTAAACTTTTTGTTGATATGCCTGAATGTATATTGATAGACATAAATAATAATAAAGACTATGTGCTTAGTTATAAAAGTATTGTGTGTACGTTTGATATAATGCCCGTGTACAGGAAGAAAATGTATATTTATCAATCAATCAAAATGAACAGCAATATAGCGAGTGTTTGTGATGTGTGTAGAGATATGAAGAGGTACGTTGTACTAAACCCAGTAGCTTGACTTGCCACATCACTTTATTTGTATTTATATTGTAATAAGCTTATTTCAATCAATAATCTTATTATTTACCACAATCGACTTGATATAATGGTCCACGACGGACCGAAACGTCGTCGTCTCATCTTCTGCCGTGTGATTTGGTCATCATCTTATTTCAATTTCAATTTTAGTACTTGTTCAATGTTCTGTATACGCTTCACGAGTTAGTTTAGTTCATTTATTATGCACCCCATATCCATCTTGTGTGAGGTAGTGGAAAGGGTTACAGAGGCACATAATGGGCTCAGGGACTGAACCCCCACAATTCATTTAGCTAAGCAAGTTACAATCTTGATGAGCTAGTTACAAAATTCAATATAAGTCGTCACATCAACAATGGGTTCGAGATCGACCTCAAGTACAGTTTCTAAATTAAGCAACTGACATATGTGGAGAGCCTAGTGTCACAATTGATGTTTGTCCTGCACACCGCCCCCCATCCAGGGGCGGTGGATAGGTTACAATCACTCTTAGTTACTACCTACAATTAGCAAACTGGGGATATTTGGCTAAAATTTCTGGTAGCAGATCATTTTGAATGAAATATTGACACATCGTTGGTACATTTGTTATAGAACTGTCTCTAAATTCACGTATTTTTTCGCACTCTATCACATAGTGACGGAGGGTGTGCGAATAATTTTGTTGACACAGTTTACATTTGGTCAGATCTACATCGGCAGATAATGAGAATTCCCAGAGATACTTGTAACCGAGTCTAAGCCGAGCAGTAGTAACATCTAGAAGTCTGCTGATTTTATTGGATGAACCATAGATGTGTGGCTCCTCTTGCATGATAGTATGATGATAGATGGAATTACTGGTGTCAATTTCACTTTGCCTCAGATCTACAAGATCTTGTTGAAGTTCTCGGTGTACTGCTGCTCTCAGATTGCTCATTGACAATCCAAGGTTACACTCAACATCTCCTTTATAGGCAGATTCTTTGGCTAACTTATCAGCTCTATCATGCATTCGGAGGCCAACATGAGATGGAGACCGCATGAAGTGGACTCTGTTACCATCCTTAATAATTTTGTTGTATTTGTGTCTAGCTTCGGACACGAGCATGTTACAGTTATGTCTTAAAGAGTTGAGAGCAATTAAGGATGATAAGGAGTCACAATTAATGTATCAAGTTTGGAGACTTGTACACATTTCAGTGCAAGGATCAAGGCAAATAGTTCGGTCTGAAGGGTAGAGGCCCAGTTGTTTATACGGACTCCCCACTCAAAGTACAAGCCATCGCCCATTGTCAGAACAACTGCACTTCCAGCTGCACCCGTGGTGCGGTGTAGGGAACCATCGGTGTATATGATTTGAGAGAGAGAATGCTCTGTGGACAGAGCATCAACGAGGCGAGTTAAATATTGGGAGCTGAATTCTTCAGGAAATGTTGTTAACATGCTCGCCAATTTCCTATGCACCACTAATGTTATCATGTTAGGGTGTGCCTCTGGTACAAGTGTTTTAATTACAGCTACACAGATTCCTTTTTGTATTTTTGTCTTGAAGTTTTCTTTCTTTTATGCAGAATATTCCTTTGGTTTCTATTATGAATTTCCCATCTTCATTACTTTACTGTTAACTGCTTTGAATTTAACAGCCACCAGTGTGGTGCCACATCTAGAGTATGTCAAAGTTTTCATGCAGGACTGTACAGTCTTCCTCAGTCTTTACTGTCTTTGTTATATTTGTATCATGTGCAGTTGTTGAAAAACAGAGGTGCAACTGGTACTCTGAGAGAGAACTCTATCAACATCAGAGGTCCGAGACTGTTCAACACGCTTCCACTACACATAAGGGGCATAACTGGCCGACCCCTCACAGTGTTCAAGAGAGAACTGGATAAGCACCTCCAAAGGATACCTGACCAACCAGGCTGTGACTCATACGTCAGGCTGCGAGCAGCCGCGTCCAACAGCCTGGTTGATCAGTCCGGCAACCAGGAGGCCTGGTCGACGACCGGGCCGCGGGGACGCTAAGCCCCGGAAGCACCTCAAGGTAACCTCAAGGTAGGCATCCATAGCGTTTCGGGCAAAAACTTAAGCATTAACCTACTATAGTTTTAATATTTATAATTTTGTCCTGGAACATGCTAGCTAATCGGTGTACAACCAGATCCCCATTTTCTGCTGAGTGAGTAACTGGCTTGTGGTCAAGGATCGGTGTCCAGTTGACTCGATCCCTGTCCAGGGCTCGATCCCGGATGAAATTGCTTGTGGTTTTTACAGCCCGTCCTCCAAACAAAGATCCAAAAATGATTCCATGCACCCGCCAAACTCCCTGTTTATGAATGAAAAGCGGTTTACACACGACTCACAACTGCTGACGTTCGAACATATCCGGAACAAGTGTTTCACTGACGATTTTTGTTCGAATCACAACGCTATAAATGCTTCACCCACGTACTACAAATACAAATAATCGCCAACAGAACCTAAACACCTGACCTAACCTAATCTATGCCTATATATACACAATATGCCAATATATTATAATATTAATTTATACTTGAGAAAATTCCCGTTTTGAATGAACAGCATGTAAAAATTTATGAATGCGTCTGTGGGGTCGACCGCTGAATGTAATGGACTTGAGTCGAGGACGGGTTGTTTTTATGAGGGACATTAAATCCTTCTTGGCAATCTAAGATGCAGTCTATCATTATTTCATTTCGTGTATTTGATGACCTTGTTACGCGAAGGAGGTCGAGGGTGGTGAGAGAAACATAAGAGTGGCAAGGAGCAGAGGGCGGCGGGCGGAAGATGTCGTCATGTGGCGGCGGCCTGAGGTCACTGGGTGGGCGGGTGGGGCTAGGGTCGGTAGTGGGCGGGAGGGGATAGGGCTGTTTGTGGGCGGGCGGGGCTAGGGTAGATAGTGGTAGGGGGGGGACTAATGGCGGTAGTGGGAGGGCGGGGCAAGATCTAGTTGTGGGCGGGCGGGAATAGGGCTGGTTGTGGGCGGGCTGGGCTAGGGTAGGTAGTGGTGGTGGGTGGAGGAGGGACTTGTGGCGGTAGTTGGAGGGCGGGGCAAGGTCTAGTTGTGGGCGGGATGGGCTAGGGCAGATAATAGGCGAATGGAGGGTGGCGGCGGTGTGAGGAAAGCGTGGGGAGGGTGGCGGAGGCGGCCAGAGATGGCTACTGGAGGAGGAAGGGGGCAGTGGGTGGCGGCGAAAGATGAGGGCTGCGAAGAGGGCGGCAGGAGAGCGGTTGCTGGGGGCGGCGGTAAGGTGTCGGATATAGGTTGTGGCGGCGGCCATGAGTAATGGTGGCGGGTGGTGACAGCGGGAGGGTGGCTGTGGGTGGCGGAGAAGAGTAACGACAGCGGGTGTCGACGGTAGGTAATGGCAGCAGGAGATGGCAGGAGGATAGGTGTTGGTGGCGGCTATAAGTGAAGACATGGGTGGTGGCGGCGGAGGGTGGCGGCTGGGTGGCGGCGGCTGGGTGGCGGGTGGCGGCGGGGTGCGCACGCCGAGGCTCGCGCGTCTGGACATTCAAACCTGGCGGCGGCTCGACCAATCACATTCGAGTAAGGTTCCCGCGCCACCAAACACCAATGGCTGTCAGCGAGGAGCGACGGCCAAGTAAATACAACCTGTAATATTGGGTATGTTGGTGATATTTGTTGTTGGCGGCGGGGAGGAGGGCGTGTAAGGGTGGAGGCGAGGCCGCAGGTGCGGGCTGGCTGCGGCAGGAGCGGCCAGGAGCCGCCCTCGAGGCTCCACCACCTCTGAGAGTGGCACAAGTCTGGAGGCTGGGGGGAAACAGGCCGCTCATCTCCTCACTATTTCACTTACAAATCGAAATGGCGGCTGTGTTTTGGCACTCACCGGTGATTTTGTTGTGGTTATTCTGTGGCAGTGTGGCGTTGGTGTGGTAGACGGTGGCGGGAGGCGCAGTGGCTCGCTAGAGGTACAAATGTGGCGTGATTACCAAGGTGCGTGTGGAGGAAGAGTATTATGTTTGTGAGTGACTGGTAGTGACCCCCAGACGGGCGTCCATTAGCCCCCCCCAGCACACCCTGGCCAGCACAGGGCCGCCCTGGGCCTCCCACCTGCCTAGTGCCACCTGGCTCCACCACCCAGCTGGCCCCCATGGTGGGCTGGGCGTCTCTGGTCCACCAACACTCCTAAACTGCCCAAGTCAACACCTCAAGACATATTAGGTTTGAAAATTAGACAAATATAATTAACTGGTTCTTTTTTTTGACGTGTATGAAATTCGAAAAGTAAATTGTTATATTTAAATTTTGAATGGATCAATTTTTACTTTTTAAAGTTTAATTTGTTTACTTTGAAAAATGTGGAAAAATTGAATGTTGCATAAATGCAGAAAATTCCAGAGCTTGCTTGCCTAGTTTGTGTTTTGAGTTGTCTGGTTGATGAGGGTCGTGACGGCATGCGAGGGTCGCAGCCTTGTGCCTGTGGCACCCAGAGTGCCATAAGGGTACCGTAAGAGTATTAGAATTTGCAGTGTTTAAATTTTATTAAATATAATTGGAGAAAGGCAGAAAGTAAACTTTGTGAAAAATTCAAATTTACCTAAGTATTCTCAAAATTATTTAAAATTTGTGACTATACCTAATTTGAGATATATACAAGAGTTGTTGCATTCTTGTACAGCCACTAGTACGTGTAGCGTCTCGGGCAGGTTCCTGGAATACGATCCCCGCCGCAAAGAATCGTTGTTACAACCAAGTACACATTTTACTGTCGAGTTAAACAGTCTACAGTTATGGATTTGTGCTCGGTAAATCCTTAATATGTAATATGAACTGATGGGATATTGCGTAATTTCAGTTGATGATACAGCGGTACGTCGCTTACATACCACCTCTTACATTTTCATGACTAGATTTGAAAGAAAAGTTTAGTTGTGTCAACTTGTACTATGTAATACATATGGTTCATATGGCTCAATTGCCAATTTTTTGTTAGTATTACCATGGTGATATGGGCAAATGAGGAATTTTACTCTTGGTCCCTGTGATACAAATTTAGTACTTGATAGTCTTATGATCTCTTTGGAGAAAGTTTATAGTGATTAGTGTTCACTGTGATGAACCTTGTGTATTACTAATCATCACTCGCATGCTCGGCAGGGCATCCGCATCGTACGGCAAGTGGGCCGAGCATTGCCAGTGAGCACACAACCCAATGTTAAACACTCACTCACAATGTTTATACTTAATAATAAGACTAAGCAAAAATTAATGCATGATGCCGAGAGCGTCATCCCCCACTCTGTGTATTGTTTTTATGACGCTGAGAGCGTCATCAGGACGCCAAAATGGTAAATGCCAGAAAGAGACCTACATTACAAAGTGATATATATAACCTTTGGAATGTGGATAGTTCAGATACAGGATGGTATTAGGATACAGGCCAAAGGAATGTGCATTTTACATGCTGGCTGAAAGGATTTACTGTTGATTAAACACTTTACATAAGTTCATAAGTGAAGCACTTGTTTAATAATTCATTTTATCAGAAACAGGCAGCCTGTATATGCATGTAAGACTTGTATCAAGGTCCCTCGAGGTTAGACTGCTGACCCTCTGCAGGATGTGACCCCACAGCAAACTTACTCTTGGGCACCTATTTACTGTTAGGTGAGCAGAAGCATTAGATGATAGGAAATGTGCTCAACTATTTGTCTCGCCTGGAATTTGACCTTGGGATTCCCAAGTGAGAATCAAGTGAACCCAACTATAGTACTGCAGATTTATTACTAAATACCACATTCCTTACAGATTCAGTCTTGCACTTAATGATCGTCAAGTTCATCTTGTTGGTGGCCCATTCGATTTTGTTCAGTATATTAGCCAGTCTCTAGTATTTTGGTCCAGTTGATTTATTATACATCCTATATCTGTCCTGTGAGCGGTAGTGTGAAAGGTTACAGAGGCACATGATGGTCTCAGGAACTGAAATCCAAATTAATTTAGCTAAGCAAGTTATAATCTTGATATAACCTCTCCTAAAAATCATGTAAAAAAAGTTACACGAATTAATACTTACGTCAACAGCTATTCCAGTTTTTACCAAACTAACGTAATGTAGTAGTGATCCCAAGAGGCTTAAACACAAGTAAGAGTTTGTTTAATTAGTTTACTATGGACCTCATTCTCATCTTGTGGGCGAATGGCAGAAAGGTTTGCATCATGGGTCCAACGCTACAGTCTCTCTGGCTTGGCGCCTTCTTTTGATAATTACTTACAATGGGTTGAAGAGATGGACTAATTACATATAGCAATAAAGTTACTTTTTTTTTTTTTTTTTTTTTTTACTAAACTAATGTGTGAAATGGTCTGCAAAACTACTGTAACAGGTTAATGTTATCAAACTTATCCTCTTCTAAAAACAGCTATTAGGGTTATACAATTTATTTTAAGGAGCCTTTCTTAATGTTCTATTTTAGTAATTAATGTACTACAGTATGAGAGCCCCTCTTCAGTAACTTTAAAGTGAAATATATATATATTTTTTTGGAACCTATGTACTGTGCACAAAATATGCCGGAGAACAATTACTAATTATCAACAGATGGCACCAAGTTGGGTAGACTATGGATCACTGTTAGTACTGGAGGGTTGCACTGTTAGTACTGGAGGGTAGTTGCCAGCTATTCTTGTATTTTTTCCCCCTATGGGAGCTTAAAACATAATTGAAACAATTCAATTAAAATAATTAAAAATATATACAGTATTTATAAAGTAATATTTTTTAATTTTACTGGTATCAAATTTTTGGTGGGAAAATTCAAATCTCATAATTTCATTATGTATGCACCATGGAACTTATTTAACTTTGCTTAAATTTTGGCACTGCACACTGAAAGTTTTTAGCACTGTAAGTTTACTGCAATAAGTCGTTGGAAATTTTTTATAATTTTCATTTCCAATTTTTTGGTCGGACATTATTTTTTTTTATTAATGACTTTAAAAAAATCATTAATATAACACCTGTTTAAGGTCTTATTAAAAACAAACCATTTTAAACAGCTGTCCTCTAACTACAGTAATAGTAATGCTGCATACTAGTAGAAAACTAATGAATTACCATGTACTGTAGTATCATCTACTACAGTACTGGCTTGCCCACTGTATTGCCTCCTGTACTCACCTAGTTGTGTAGTCAGTCACCTGTACTTACATTGTCTTACAAACTCAGCTTCTTCCAAGGGTAGGGAAATTTGCCAAGTGTGGTCCACTTTTAAATAGGCCAGGTGGTTACTGCTTTCAAGAAAATCAGTAGGGGCATTGAGGAGGTTTTGAATCTGCACACAGTAGTACTTGGGTACTCCCAAGTAGATGTCCTAAACTGCTAGGTCATAATACAGTACAGTATGCTAAAAAATGTAACCTTGGATTCAACAGAATCCTCTAGGGTTCCAGAGGCATCCTCTGTTCCTACGTCAGGGTTTTACACATTGCTCTCATACACTCTTTGGCTGTGGTATAGGAGTTCTACCACCCCCCCCCCCCCCCTTGTGCTTCTCTTCAAATGCACAAAGAGATCATTAACGTGAAGTATTAATGAGAAAATCAGTAGGAGCCATAAGGAGGGCGTGTGCAGGTTCAAATCATCCTCATGGCTTCTGATTTCCTCATTGATACTTCATGTTACTGTGGTTTCATTTTCCATTACTGTATTAATTAATACTGTACCTGTATCTATACAGTATATAACTAATTTTGTGGTAATGCAAACTTAACCAAGGAGGCTGATGGACACCTTTAAATTTTTCAAGCATTTGTTTCACGTGTACATTGTTTCAAATGTACAGCATTTGTTTCATATTTTTTCAATTAGTCCTTGAATGAACTTTAGTAATGCTGTAAATTTTGTATGTCTCCATTGAGATAAAAATCTTTGAAGTTGTAACTTCGTTAATTCTTTGTGGTGCAGTGCTTCAGTATGGGTATGTTGTAGCCAGGACTGGAATTTGTAGGTGTGTGTATGGGTATGCTGTAGAAAGATGTTAAACAAGTACAAAAATGCTGATACTGTATACAAGATGGGAATTCAGCCGTTCTGTTAGAATGCTATAAAAATCTTGCTAAATGTTTTGCAGGCATATTTTAGTTGAGAACTAAACAAATGACTATAAACATGTTAGTTGCAGGTTATATTCTGAATTCTGATTATATTCTGATATTCTGATATTTTTTTTTAAATACATACTGTAATGTAAATTCATTTTGAGCTGATCAATATGCATTATAATTGTATGAAACCTTGAGTAAAATGTGGGAAGCATCACGGTTGAGTTTTCCTTCTGTAAATGTTGGCACTAACCTGACAGCTGAGTGGACAGCGCTTCGGATTCGTAGTCCTGAGGTTCCGGGTTCGATTCCCGGTAGAGGCGGAAAATAAAATGGGCAGTTTCTTTTACTCTGATGCCCTGTTCACCTCGCAATAAATAGGTACCTGGGAGTAAGACAGCTGCTATGGGCTGCTTCCTGTGGGGGTGTAACAAAAAGGAGGCTTGGTCGAGGACCGGGTCGCGGGGATGCTAAGCCCCAAAATCATCTCAAGATAACCTCAAGATAACTACTGTACTGTTCAATATCATAAATTTAAATTAAATGGATCTGTTTAAAATGATTTTAATGTGAAATTGTTTTACAATTGCCAGTGTTAATTTTTATTATAAACATTATTTAAACTTAGAATTTACTTTTTTAATGGTCAAATTTATTGGATTTAATTTAAAAAAAAAATACTGTAGTCATGTATTGCCATGTATACAGTACTGTAGTGTGTTTGCTAGATTAGCCATAAACTGATAATTATTTGGCCCTTCTCTTACAACTACGGTACAGTATTATATACAGTTCAGTAATACATTTTGCTAGTAAATTACTGTATCATTTAATTGTATGTTAGGTGATTGTGTACAAAGTACTGAACTACATACTGTAAATCAAGTTGCAAACAAATTATAAAAGTGGCATTCTTTAATTGTCCAATAATTTCTAAACTTTTCTCTAGGTAGTTTTGTAACAATATTGTAATTGAAGTTCTATTTTGTTAAAGCATTTGTTTTTTTTTAGTATTGTAAAATTAATTGAATTGTCTCTGTTGCAGTTAATCTGGACAACACGGCTTATAAAGCCTCGATGGATGATGTCTCTTCTGGATCTGGCATGGAATATGGCACCTTGTACCTCACAGAGGTTTCAAGAGAGCTAGAAAGCATGTCTCGAGACACAGAAATATGTGATGTACATTATTCCCGGAGACCAGAAGATGACGACCAAGTAAATATCCATCAGGAAAACAGCATGGAAAATTGGATTGCTGATGATGATGATAATAGAGATGAAAAGATTTGTGATGGTATAAGTAACGATGATGGAATAGGGGAAGGTTGGCTACAAGGTGAAGCGAATGACGGTGTCAAGTCTAGCGCAGAGGAGGAAGACAGTTTCAGCGCAGAAAAGTTTGTTGCCGAAGATGAAGAGGAAAAGTACAGTGCAGATGATGAAGATAAATTTAGCACTGAGGAAGATACCAAATACAGTGCAGAAGAGGATGACACCAACTTGAGCACAGAGGAGGAAGCAAAGTACAGTGCTGATGAAGGCAAATCCAGTGGAGAGGAAGATGCCAAGGATAGTGCAGAAGAGGATGAAGCAAAGTATAGTACAGATGAATGTAAACTAAGCACAGAGGAAGAAGGGAAATATAGTGCCGATTATTTAGATGATGAGTGGCTTGGAAGTAGGGGTCATGTGGATGGTCATATTGAATTGAGAAACAAAAGATGGATGAGAAATAATAAATATGAATTAGGCAAAAATGTAAAAAACTGGCATAGTAGTAGTGAGGACATGGAGCACACGTCAACAGAGAGCGAGGCAGAAATAAGTGAGGAAGATCAAGAGCAAGTAAATGATAAGGTGAAAGTTGATTTTCCATCTGCTTCTTCTGGCAACTTAAACGAAACAGCTGTTGCTCGGCCAGTATTGTGTTTTGATGAATATGGGAATCTAACTACAGCTTATCATAGCCCAGAAGTCAGTACAGTTGACATTAAAAAATTAGCAACAGAAAGTGAGATGCAAGAGGCCAAAAGTAATTCTGAGTCTGTGGAGATAATTGAAGAGAAAACAAAAACTAGATCGTTTGAAAGTGAAGAATGTGGTGATTATTCTCCTTGTAATGGAGAAGTCAGAGTATTAAGGAATAAACCGAAGATTAACCAGGAAAGTGGGGAAAGTGCATTATCAGACCAGGAATTGAAACATGTATTTAAGGAAGAATTTATGACTGCTGCCACTAGCCGTTATGGGAGACCACGAAAGCGTAAAACAGAAGATGGCTTTTTCTTTGGTACCATAAATTTCAACGAATTGAGAAAAATAACTTCAGGTAGTCCAAAGAAAACCAAGGGCTTAAATGTAAAAAACAGTCCTGAACAAAAAATTAAGCTTGTTAATAAAGATGACAGGAAACAGAAGCATAATTTTGCTGATGAGATTGAAGATTTGATATGTAATGGAACAGAGGACTATAAAGATATGGCAGATGAGGAAGAAGTGAAAGGTATTATTCCTACAAGCAAAGTACAAATGTGTGAAACCAAAGATGAAGCTGTGTTAGTACAAAACTTGAGTGTTGGGCAGGGTGATGGTAGTGATAAAATCTTAGATAAGTGTATTAGTAGTAACCATGACTCGCAAAGAGAGCTGCAAAAAAATGAAAAAGCCTCTAAAAGTTCTGGAAAGAATGATCTTACAGAGGAGCAACTGAATGTAAGTCCTAAGCCACCATGTATATTTACACAGGAAGGAAATTCTTTTGCAAGTGTGGCAACCACTGAATCTGCTGAAAGTAGTGGGGCCTCGGTAGGTTTAAGTGCTCGTGAGAGAAGAAAAAAATTAAGCCTCAGAAGACGGTCGGAATTGCCTATAAGCTCGGGAACAAAAGCTACAGAATCACATTCCACCACCTCCGACAGATTACTTAGGGGTAGATCAGATGTGTGTAGAATAAAACGTTCTATCCAAGCACATGATGAAGTAGTTCCATATAAGCGATCTAAAAGACTATATACAAATATAGAACCTGTGTGTGTAGTTAATTCACCTTCTACAGATTCTCAAGATTCACAGGACGAGTGTCTGGAGAATCATACATCATTAAGAGAAAGTTCTTCCCCAACTAAAACATCATGCAGATCTAAAGAAAGTGCAGAAGAGGTAAATACTAGTCATTTTACTATTTTATTTGTAATTTTGAAAAATAATTTTCAAGTTCAGTCCTATTTAAGTAGCCTGTATATGCAGTTTTGCAGAGCATATTATCTCTCTAACCCTTTTATTACCATGATTATTCCTGCAAGAGGCAATATATGTACATAATGTGTGTGTGTGTATGTGTGCGTGTATGTGTGCATGCATGCATGCATGCAAACAAGCCTAAATGGGCCCCAGGCATACATGCAACTGAATGTATGACTCTTGGGGTGTGAGTTTTCAGTTATATATACATATGTATGTATATGTATGGGGGGGGGGGGTATCACCTCTGCTGCAATTGCAGGGACCCACAGCTTCAAAGAAGGGAACACAAAGCATTCAGAGAAAAACTTGCCATTTAACTGTGAATATGTATGGGGGATCACTTCTACCTCCTCCCTTTTATGTTGTACACTTGATTATGCAAGGTTATACAGTTACATATCTGATTGTTTGCAAAAAATGAACATTAAGAGGAAATAAGAGGAAGTTTGTTTCCTAGAGGCTGTAGATTTCTTCGAACTCCTCCGACGCTGGGCAGGAACTGAGGATGCAGCGGGCATTTTCCCCTCTGGATCACGACACTGAGGCGCTGGAAGAGTAAACTTGCCCCTCTAGGTTCTCTTGTGTCAATTAGCCTGGAACCATGATCCTTAAGGGGCCATGTTACCTCTATCTCACAAAAATAGACAATAAATGAAAACTCATTCGATTTCAATCAAACTTTTTTGACAAGTTGTATATGAAAAGGGTTTCATCTGGTCGAAGTCTCAGCGTCGTAGCATAAATAGGAAGGGAGAAAAAATATTGAATAATGTGTCAAAAATGTTCCAAAATGGTCAAAAAAGATTATCAAACACAAGTGTCAACTGAAATCATGTCTGACTCAGCTATCACAATAGTATATATTAAAAACAAATTATAATTAGTTTTATTAAACAAAAATTAGTTAATTTTTTTATTTTATTTTTCATTTTTGTTTATCAGACGATTTGCATGAAACTTACACTGTACTGTACTCCTGACTGCATGCAAGCCTATCTGTAAGGGTGCCAATTTTGAAGGAAATTGGTTGATGTCATCCTCAGCCACAGATGGCAGCACCTTAGACTATATTTTAATGATTTATTTTTCAAGTAACATAAACGACTTCAAACTCTTTCATTTTTATTCAATTTACATGAAACTTACACCTTAAATGTAAAGGTTATGTCTCTAAAATCTATGGCTGTTTTGTTTCCCTAAGTTCATTTATTGATTTTATAATAGCAATAAACACGATATATTTGCATAATTTTTTTGGGGAACTTTGACTATTTGTATTAAGAAATCGAAAAATGTTTTGGAAAATCCCCGGCTTCAGATCCTTTATTATATGCTAATATGTCAGAAAAGTGTCATAGAATGATTATATCTGAAAAGGTGAAAGTTTTGAACTCGCTTGAAAATGTGTAATATTTGTTGAAAAAAAAAAATCTCCCTTTCAATTTAGGCTGCAGTACTGAAACTTGGAACAATTGCAGCCCTTTTCATATACAACTAGTCAATAAATATTGGTTGACATTGAACAACTTAAAAACTTATCTATTGGCTCCTTAAGAAATCTTCTTGCACTCTCTCCCCATGGGTCTAGGGACTCAGATCCTATTGGAACAAAGTTGTACTGGTGATCTAATTCCATGTACTTGGTCGACTTGTATCTTTCTGTGTCGCTTGGCCAGCAGAGAGGTTGATGTATGTGGTTGCCAGGGTGGATATGCAAGTAGTCTCACGCCAACTGTCTGCCACCCTTCCAAGGGTGGCAGACATTGGAATATGTGATTCCATCTAGTCGGCCAGCAAAACTAGCAGAGTTATGGTTCAATAGATTGTGCAGCACTCGCCGCTGGACACTGGGCAGAGGCAAGGCTCCTCTTAATGATGTCATTGACTTCGTCGTGTCTAGAGTGCCACCCGCCTGATTTTCCACAGTGCAGGCCATGCAATCAATATTCGTCTGCATCTGCCTCGCTGTCTGACACTCACATTTTTCATCACATGTTAATTTTCGTGATTTACACTCTTACACTCCCTCGGTATTTTTTCCCAAATAATATCGCATGTTACAGTAGTTGTATGAGGATGTCTGTAGTGTTATGGTATCCAGTGAAGGTAGTAATTTACCAGTTATAAATATGTTGATCACTCTGTTGTACTGATAATATTGTACTGTACTTTTTTTTTTTTTTACATAGTTCTGTTTGTCAAGTTTCTGCAAGGGGTTAGTTAAAATTTGGTGAAGATGACCACTAAGCATTGTTTATAGTATTTTTCCTGTACATATTACATAAGAGTGTGAGATTGACAAATATTATTGTTTTTAAAAGCTGGCCTCTATAACAAAGTCGGGGAGAGTGATAAGAAAACCTCAACTAATGGATATATCAGATGAGGACAAGCGGCAAAAGTTGTCAAGGGAACAACAAAAACAAAGTGAAGCACTGCTTAACACAAGCCTAGATGAGGTGAGGCTCATGTACTTTGCAGTATACATTTACAGTATTTAATGCTATAAATTAAATGGATATTCAGTATGCTTCTATCATACCTGTTTTTATATAAAAAAAACGTTCATTTGTTTTCAGCAAGGATATATTCTCATTTTTTCTCTTCCCACCATGTTTCTGGACTATATCTTAAAAGCAACCAATCCTCCAAAAATTATAGTTCATATAGTTATATGGTTGAACATACAAAAATATACTTTTGTATTGAAAACGTTTTTATTTTGTACTAATGGAATACTCCAAATGGTACTGAAGTATTCCAATAGTGGAACGATAATGGAACAAAAAGTGTAACAATAATTAAACATCCTAACGTGTCTTAGGCCTTAATAAGCAATCCCAGGCATAATATACACTACGTTTGTTTGGTTACTTTATCATGACCTCAACAAGATTAATAAAACAGTATGATCTTTTTTGGGAGAGCAACAGTTCATTTTTGTATGTTCAGTCAATAATTGTTCCAAGTACTAAACTTTTTGGATGACAGGGAGCTCAACACACATGTTTGCATCGACTTGAAATGTGAAATGCTTGCATATACGCGTAACTTCACCACACCTAAGTTATTAAAATTTCACAGCATTTTTATCACAGTTTGGAATCACTTTTGATTATGTAATAACTTGAAACCAGTTTTAGTGAATAGATTAAGTACTATATTGTACCTCCATGCCTTTATATTTTTCAATTGTTCTTCAGTTTGAATTATTTCTTGAAACACCTGTGTATGGTGATAAACCAAATTGATGATGATGATAATACCTTACAGTAATAATACTACTAATACTCTATAGTAGTACTGTAGTAATAATAATACAGTAATATACAATAATACAGTAATAATAATAGTAAAGTACTAATACTGTACACTAATAATATAATTTGTACAGTAATTATAATAGTAATACTGTACAGTTATAGTAATAACACTGTACTGTAGTAGTAATAATATTGTGTAGTAATAATAAAAATAATAATAATGTACGGTAATTAATAATAAGAATAATGTTCAATAATAATAATACTGAACAGCAGTAGTAGTAGTAATAATAATACAAATTTGTACAGTACAGTAGTAGTAGCAATAATAATCTGTAATAATAATGTACAGTAATAATGTAATATAACTGTACAATAGTAGTAGTAAAATGTACAGTAATAATAATAATACTGTACAGCAGTAGTAGTAAAATGTACAGTAATTATAATAATAATCGGTAAAAGTAGTAATAATGTTCAGTAATAATAATAATATCTACAAGTAATCATCAGATAAGGATTTTAATTATGGATAAGGTAGGTATAATGCCTATGCCCACACAACACTCATCAGGTTCACAGTTCCAGGCGTTATTGATAGTTGTGTGTACTTGAGTTTTTTTTTTTACTCGTAATTGGTTGCAGATGATCAGTGTAAATATACACATATACTGTATTTATGTGTGTACCTTCATTCATACATCCCTTTACAAATACTGTATAAACTGACACACTTTTCAGACAAAATTTACTTGCCTGCTTTCCCAAAGTGTGTCGTGCAGAGGATGATGCACCTGAAACATTTATAAAACCAGTGTAAATATTGTTTGTTATGGTCCTAATATGACAAAATCTAAGACCAAAAATTTATAATATATAATATTACGTACAAGCAGCCTCACTTAATGAATGAAATTTTTCCTAGAAAAGTTGTCAATGTAGTGTATCATAAAATGCAGCATAGCATTCAGTAAATAATAACAAAAAAGTGGTTTTCCATTAACTGTTGACTAAAAGAAAAAAACATCCCACCTCACCTCCACCCCTTCACCATCCTCACTTCACCACCAGAAGTGAGTGGATATTTATATTTTATCTGTAAATCAAGCATTTGTAATTGTGGCATGAACAAGCCTCTCATCTCCACACCACCCACATGACACTTGCTCTGCTTCCAGTTGGTCTGCTCAAGGTCACATATACCAACTCTTCATAATTCACAAGTAATTCTCTTTTTCTGAATAAACAGGCAATAGTAATATATCTACTTAGTAATAATGTATAGTACTCAACACAAAAAAGCATGGGTACGTTATCTACTTATTGCTTTTATGCCTAACATGCATGCATGCTTGCATACATACATACATACATACATACATACATACATACATACATAGTCATTAATGATGGCTTCAACAACACAATATAAAAATGTGTAGATGACACTGAGCTAGGTAGCAAAGCTGCACCATCCATAGTGACATTGCAAGCTAACCCAAACATGCCAGTAAACAGGTCTGACTCATGACAGGTTATTAATGTTGATAAGTGTAAAATACTGCACATTGCAAATTGGAATGAAAAAGCGAACTATGAAACGAGCACTAAAATTCTAAAAGCTTAAAACAAGGAGAGACCTAGGAGCAATGCTAGCTATTGGCATGAATCCAGGAAATCATAGTTTAGAAGCTGTGGGGAAGGCAAACAAAATTCTAGATTTTATTTGCAGACATGACAAATTTTGATTGAAAAAGGCTACAATTAATTGTTTTCCTATTCCTGAGTATTGCATATTGTCATGGTCTGTATTTAAAAAGGATATTGATAAGCTGGAATGAGTTCAGTACCTGGAATAAAGATGATACAAAGACTTAAGAAATTAATCATATGAAAACTGCTTAAAGAAACTACAGTGGGTCCTTGCTCTGACAAATTCCTGAATAGTCCAAAGAATTTGTTTGGTGTAAGTTATTTAATGGAACAAATGTTTCTGTAAGGATTGTTCGCCTAAGCTGCTGCAAATCCTGACTATTAGGGCATGGCAAGCAGATTTTATCCAACTGTAAACTATTGGTCAGTGCATATAATCTTTTTAAACTTAAATACAATATTTTATGAATTATAAATTAATAATTAAAAAATACACAACAGCCAAAATTGAATGTTGTTGCATCATGTATTATTCTGGATTGTCCATGCCTAAAGGAATTTTAATGCCAGGTCAAAATGTTGATAAAATACATAACAATTAAAAGAATACAACTTATGTAAGTACGGTTATTGTCAGACAATGACACCTCGATGCCTATGCACAAAATTACCAAAACACGTTCCCAAGCCACATTCTTATCATGCATTCAAGCACCAGAGATGTGTTTGCTTGCTGTCTACAATTTTATTGTTAATTATTGCACTATATGCATTGTATTTGCTGTTTTTCTTAATGAGATGTCTTGCATCATGATGGTTCTGAATGTATTAGCAAAAAGAAGAAATTTATTTCTACTTGGCAGTAGAACCCCATCAAGCAAGCAGAAAAATTGACAGATGCTGCTGACACCACCAATTTTCATGGTATGATAGAGGCAGGTGAGGCAGCTCACCCCTGCGCCATGCACACACCCACACATGCTACCTCCCTCCACTCATTATCATTTGCTGAGACAGTCCTTTTATCTGTTTTACATTTTTGGATCCAAGAATTTTAGTTTTCTATAAATGGGGTGTCAATATGTATAAGTATTAAATTCGTTTAGTGCCCTGTTTCTGAAATATATGTAATACATTTTTTTCCCCATTTCCTCAGGAGCTAGCCCTCTCTGGTGTGGATATGCGTCTCTATGAACAAAAGAACCCATGTAAGCATCTAGTTGGTGATCTTGTTTGGGTCAACATTCGGGGAAGTCCTCTCTGGCCTGCAATGATATCTTATGATCCTGTCCTTGGCCAGTTTAGTAAACTATCATGTGAGTACTATTATAGAATTTGTAAGTATTTTGATGCAATCTACAGTAATTTCCATCTCCCCTTCATCTCTCCCAACCTCCCTGATATCCTTCTCATTCCCCTTGCCATCCTTCTCATCCCCCCCTGCCGTCCTTCTCGTCCCCCCCCTGCCGTCCTTCTCGTCCCCCCCCCCCTGCCGTCCTTCTCGTCCCCCCCCTGCCGTCCTTCTCGTCCCCCCCCCCTGCCGTCCTTCTCGTCCCCCCCCCTGCCGTCCTTCTCGTCCCCCCCTGCCGTCCTCCTCGTCCCCCCCTGCCGTCCTCCTCGTCCCCCCCTGCCGTCCTCCTCGTCCCCCCCTGCCGTCCTCCTCGTCCCCCCCTGCCGTCCTCCTCGTCCCCCCCTGCCGTCCTCCTCGTCCCCCCCTGCCGTCCTCCTCGTCCCCCCCTGCCGTCCTCCTCGTCCCCCCCTGCCGTCCTCCTCGTCCCCCCCTGCCGTCCTCCTCGTCCCCCCCTGCCGTCCTCCTCGTCCCCCCCTGCCGTCCTCCTCGTCCCCCCCTGCCGTCCTCCTCGTCCCCCCCTGCCGTCCTCCTCGTCCCCCCCTGCCGTCCTCCTCGTCCCCCCCTGCCGTCCTCCTCGTCCCCCCCGCCGTCCTCCTCGTCCCCCCCGCCGTCCTCCTCGTCCCCCCCGCCGTCCTCCTCGTCCCCCCCGCCGTCCTCCTCGTCCCCCCCGCCGTCCTCCTCGTCCCCCCCGCCGTCCTCCTCGTCCCCCCTGCCGTCCTCCTCGTCCCCCCTGCCGTCCTCCTCATCCCCCCCTGCCGTCCTTCTCGTCCCCCCCCTGCCGTCCTTCTCGTCCCCCCCCTGCCGTCCTTCTCGTCCCCCCCCTGCCGTCCTTCTCGTCCCCCCCCTGCCGTCCTTCTCGTCCCCCCCCTGCCGTCCTTCTCGTCCCCCCCCCTGCCGTCCTTCTCGTCCCCCCCCTGCCGTCCTTCTCGTCCCCCCCCTGCCGTCCTTCTCGTCCCCCCCCTGCCGTCCTTCTCGTCCCCCCCCTGCCGTCCTTCTCGTCCCCCCCCTGCCGTCCTTCTCGTCCCCCCCCTGCCGTCCTTCTCGTCCCCCCCCTGCCGTCCTTCTCGTCCCCCCCCTGCCGTCCTTCTCGTCCCCCCCCCTGCCGTCCTTCTCGTCCCCCCCCCTGCCGTCCTTCTCGTCCCCCCCTGCCGTCCTTCTCGCCCCCCCCTGCCGTCCTTCTCGCCCCCCCTACCGTCCAAGTGTGATAGTTATATAATAAAATGTGTGAATCATCGCTATACTCAAAAGTATGGTGTTCATATTAGTGGTTCAATTATTTTGTTCATAAAACAAACAAATAGTTTTGCAGTTATTACACTATACTGTATACACACACATTATATATACGTATCTATATGTTTTGTTCACCACAACTGCACAACTAAGCTTGATATAGTTAGTTCAGGCACTAAGAGACCACTACACTCACAGTCAGCTGGTGGCTGCCTCCCTCACTCATTCAAGTTCAGGCGCACTAAATTTCTCCCCCAACAATACTGTTTGGGGTGTTATTACACTATATACACACATTATATATAAGTATCTACATGTTGTATGCACCGTAACTGTACACCTAAGCTTGTAGGGTGCATAGTGGCCACCCTCTACACTGCTAGACAAGTCATGCAGGCGACTCCACCTCCATCACCCAAATGGCTCCTCCCAACATAATCCTTTTGCTGTTATTACACTTAATACACACATTATATACAAGTATCTACATTTGTGTTCACCATAGAAAACCACTGAGCTGGTATGTTGAATGCAGACAATAACAGGTGGCCACACAGTCAGTAAACGACGTAATATTGAATAATATTATTTCTGCAAAAAACTAAGAAAAAATCAATGACATTGAAATAATTAGGTAATAATGTCTTTGTGTTAACTCCCACCTGTCAGCTTTGGTGACGCTGACCGCTCTGTCAACGCCCATATTTTGCCAGACTTCCTCAGCCTATTGCGCCCAAAATATGTCACCAACGATTTATTTTTTATTTTTCCCGTGCTCAGGGAACACAAATTAAAATTTTTAGAAGATGAAAAAATTAATTTTTTTTTTCTTGAGCACGGGTGTAAATCTCCTCAGGACCCCTTAGCAGCTTAAGGGTTAATTATTAGCACAACATTGTTACTCCACAATTCCATTTTCTGCTTGTCAAATGATTTAGTAAATATTAAAGCTAAGAACTTGCTAAGCTTATCTTTATATTTTTTTTTTACGTTCCCATCAAAGACTTTCTGGTCCCGGGGACTTGTTGCCTTTAATTTATCTTTGTTCATAATTTTGTTTTCCTGTTCTTATTTCTTTTTTAACCATTCTTGATAGCTTGATTTATTGTTTTTCTACATTTCCCCTCCCCATTTTGAGTTAGCCTGAATTCATTGAAGTGGACTGTATATTCTTAACCACTGTGCTGCGCAGAGTACCTTGAGGTGCTCCGAGAGTTGTGCTATTTTTTTAATTGGGCTATACTGTATTTAAATTTTTTTTTCATCACTTTGTGTTTTGAAATGAAAATGGTTGAGTTTGGAAACTTTTTAACATTAATTTTACCTTAACATTTATAAAAACAAAAATGTCCTTAAGAATTGCACTATGAGGTTTTTGCCGAAACCAGGTGCGCAGTGCGGTGGTTAAGGTATTAAACATAAAATTGCATGAATTATGAATGATCTCTTGAGATTTCATAACCATAAATGGTTTCTCAACAGTGATGCAAGTTTGGCACAAGATTCGCAGTACACGAATGTACCATGTGCAGTTCTTCAGTGACAATGCTTTGACTTATTGGATTGCCCCTGGCAATGTTCTGCCATTTGAAGGCTTTGTGAAGCTTAAAGAATTCCTCACAGAGCAAAAATCTAAGGTAAATATTTAATATCATGTTACATTTAGCTCTATGATATTCTGATTTATTCTGAACAAATTACAAATTTCTCTATGGTAGCAAGAGTGATTTGAAAATTCACTAGGAGTGTTATCATCATGTACCGGGTGGCTGTGTAATGTGATCTAGCAGCCTTCACCATGCCTTATTGTGTACTATATTCTTCCGTGTATATATTATTTTATTATAATATATTATTATTATATTTAAGTTGTGTGTGGTTGTCCCCGGAGGACTCCCAGTCCTCCCCTAGGAGGTTCTGCAGGGGCTCTTAGCAAGGCTACCAGCCTGCTGCAGGAGTAGTTCCAGGGGTGGCCCTTCAGATTCTTATCCTCGTGCATGACAAGGTCTTTAAGGTCATTACCTCAAGGTTAAGGTTATTATTGTGCCTTTACAACCTGCTGCTCCGGGTAAATGGGACTCCACAGCCTGGGAAGGTAGTTCATGTAGGGAAAGGAAGCTGTACTGCTCCCTCTTTTAAATGACAATGCTGTAGTGCACAAAAAGAAATTGTTCTAAAATGTGTTTTTTGTTTCACATTGTTAATTAGCATCCAAAAAACATGAAAATCCAAGTAAACATTAGCTCTACCTCCTGTGGTTTTGCTTTAGTGGCTAAAGCTGTATTTGTGTTTACAAATAAAACTCCTTTGAGGAGTTGTATTTGTAAACAAATTAGAATTGAAATCAGGGTAGAATTGAGGTGAGGTGCCGCATGGGAGTAATTTTGTTAGATTACTGTATTTTCGTTAAAATTCAAAATTACTGCACACTATGAATCGGATGGACATGTAATAGCCCAATAAAAATCTTCCAGATAGACCACCCAAAATGTCAACTTCTTTGTATATGCCAATATACTAGGCTTAATCAGTGAGAAACAAGGTTCTCTTCATAAATGGCCTTGATATAGAGTAATATGTAATGTTTGGAGAAGTCACTGAAACTCGTACTTGAGATTACCCAATTTACCTGAAGGCCACTAACCCTAGTATCCTCGATGAGGACAGGAAGCTGGCAGCTTGTCGAAGGTCCCCTCCCCTTGCTCCCCCATTTGCATTGATCTTTTCCAAGTACATTATATTTTAAAAGTCGACTCAGTTTTGGCAGCTACGGGTTTGACTGGTAAGTGGTTTCATGGGCTAATAACCCTGTGGATGAAAAAGCATCTGTTCTCATTTCTGCATTGCGTCTTGTTGAGCTTGAAACTGTTGCTCCTTGTAACTTGTCTGTATTTGTCATCTGACCAGACGAAAATGACGATGAACATCCTCTAACTTGTTCAGCATTTTAAAAGTTTCAATAAGATCCTCCCTGTCATGACTGGTTTACAATGTTGTTAGCCCTGGGGCCTTCAAGCGTTCTTGATATGAGAGTTGATTTAGCACTGGAATTTAGCATTGTTGCCCGATGTTGCACTTTCTCCAGAGCAACTATATCCTTCTGAAGATGAAGTCTCTATGCTTGGATACAGTAATCAAAATGGAGGCACGTCAGAGATTAATGCAATTGAATCACTACCTTTTTTTCCTTGAAGTCAAAGGTACACTTGATTATTCCAAGTGTTTGGTTAGTTTTTTACTGCTGCCCCAACCTGCTGTGCAACTTTCATTGAGTGGTTGATTTTGACTTTCAAGGTCCTTTTCTTCATCAATCTGCTATATTGTAATTTTATTAATTTGGTAATTGTGGCATGGGTTCTTATGCCCTACATGAAGGATTGCATTTGTCAATATTAAAAAGCATTTGCCAGTCATCTGACCATTTGTGGAGTTCCTGCAAATCTCTTTGTAAGGCTTTAACATCATCATATTTCCCACCTTACCATAAATTTTTGTGTTGTCTGGAAATTTGATGATGTGGTTTGTAATATTCTCATCTATGTCACTGATGTATATGGCAAAAAGGGTTGGCCCCAAAATGTGAACCCCTGTGGTATGCCACTTACCACATTTCTCCCATCAGATTCATTCCCATAGCACCTCTTTTTTTTTTTTTTTTTACCATTGTTTTGTCCATTCTAGTATTCTTCCATTTATTCCATGTGCCTGTAATTTATCAGTTCCCACGAGAAAGGGAACCACTGGTCGAAAGGCTTTTTTTCATATAGAGTGGAGCTGTGGTGCAGTATTGTCATTTCATTGTGTTTTGCGTTGTTCCTGCTGTTCCTCTGGTGTAATATTGCTGCCATTTTCACAATGACAATCAAAACAAAACGGGAAGCAATATGAGTTCAAGCGAAGAGAACATGATCCGCGCCGCACCACACAATCGCACCACTACACGCTCCTCACGTGTTGCTGCGCTGTTCGGGCACTGGCAGGCACTTTCCTTGCACATGGATCAGTGCCATTTAAGGCTGTGAAAGAGGAGGCAGTGGTTGGCACTGCCATCAATAAAGTTCCTAATATGTATTTGTTTTGTAAACCCCAGCTCCCAAATATTATGCATACCATACTCATAAATGGTGCCATCATAACACAGGTGCCAATATGTGATACAGCCATGCCAGTAAAGCCAATGTATTGAAATCAATGCTGAAAACTTATATAATTAAAATTTATGTATATATGTATTTATTCATATGTAAATATATGGAATTCACTTTTTTTTATTGTGTTCCAAGAGGTATTGACCTAATTATTGTTGAACTTCAATTTCAGTTATTTTTTTAAACAAAATTACAACCTTAAAATTTGATAGAGCTACTAATTACCAGTCGATTCGCATCTTTTTCACGTATTGTTTGAAGCTTCCTTCAGTCTAAAAGTTGTCTGCACATTTTTCCAATAAATGCAAAACTTTTGGAGTTACAGATTTTTAAATAAATATGATAGCATATTCCATATTAACTATTTTCTGATTTAGGGCTTCTATCTTACTAGTGTTCAGAAAATAGTTAATACGGAATATGCTATCATATTCAATGAAACATGCACAAAAGAAAACCTGCTGCCAGTATACAGCAAAAATTTTAATTGTCTATATTTGGTATGTAATTGGAAGGGTTCGTTGATTTTTTTGTTTACGACAGACTATACTTGATAGAAGTATTCCTTGTACACAACATGAACATTATGTTATTCTGATAACATACTGAAAAGAAAAGAAATTCTGAATATTTGTGGTCGATGACATTTTTTTACAACTGCAAAAAAAGTTACAATGATGAACATTTAGACAAAGTTAGAGTATATAATAAGTAGATCAAGCCCCCCCCCCCAAAAAAAAAAACATTAAAAAAATTAAAATCCATGCATAAGAGCACCTGCCCCCTTAAATGTTCTTAGGACGTGTTAGGTAGTCACAATGAGTTTGTACATAATTTCTGGCTGCTTTGCAAATTACCTGAATTCCAGTAGTTTCTTTTATACAATATTATAGTTCAATCATGTGTGCATATTTTCATTGAGAAACTCTTTGATTTATAAGTGATATTGAAATGTTTATAAAATGGTAGATAAAACAGTATCATGACAGGTAATCAAACTGGAAATAACCAAACAGGTTAAGGGATTTTGAATTTTGTGAAGATATTTTGCATTACCAACAAAAACTCCCAATGTGATCTTCACAACAATGAAGAAATTATGAGGGACCTTACTACATTGGCACCCCTATTGGTTGGATTCTCAGGCTACTGTATTTGGCATAAATTTCCAGTTCTTCTACTTTGAAGCAGACCATGTGCAGTTAATGGGTCTTAATCACTATTATCTGTGATGTCTCGGTGCAATTCAGCTGTAGATGATGGATATTTATATAAACTAAAATAACTTGTGGTTTTTATATATTCTGGTACCAGTATGCAGTACATTTGTATAAAATACTAGTAATGGTTGTATAGTAAATTTAATTTCAACATTAAAGGAAACATTAACCAAGAAAAAAAAAAATAGCAAAAAGTGGACTGACTTACAAAAAGAATGTATAAGGCAGCACAAAAGGATAAGAATAGCCTAAATGCTCAAATGGGTACAAGTATTTGAACAAAGACAAAATTTCAACAATGAAAGATTACAGAAATAAAGAAAATGCTAATGTTCTACCAGACAAAAGAAATACAAATTGAACCAAAAGCCCTACAAAGTAGGGAAAACAAAAAATCCAAAATAATTCATATTTGCAAAAGAAGCAAAAAAATACCACTAGTATTGGACATATAATTACAATAAGAGGGTAATACACAAATGGTGACAGGAATGAGTGCTATCTTGAAAGAAGCAGTATAAAGCTATGTTTTTCTCCAATACACATTAAAGTTTATAATTGTGATTAATTCTTCATTAACAAAATAAAAAATTTAGGTAATGTAATGGATATTATCACAAAGAGCAGACTTGTACATTTTTTTTTTTTAACATACTGTACCTATGTACTTGGTCCTGGGTTACATAGCCTTCCCAGTATAGTGCCTTCTTTTGATAATTATTTACTTAGTCCTGGGTTCTGATTCCTGGAACGTAATCGCTATGAAAAATGCAGTCGGTAACACTAGTGCTAAGTGTAACATAAAGAAATAGTTTGGGTTTCGGCGAGGTACCAGAAGCATTTAATTCGACAGATAGAGCGAGTGTCACATTACTAAAATCCTTCACACGATGGTTAGGATTTTAATCTTCAGTTTTATTTACATAAATGAACTACACAAGCCTGGTCGACATAACTTAGAACAGGAGTATTTGCCTTTCACAAATTTTTAGCAGCTGACAAAATTACAGGAGCATTTCCAGAATGCAGATGTATACAATGAAAGGCATTTTATAAACATGATCATGGCGTGATAGCTTCAGTGGTAAAAATAGGTGTTATTGCAGTCTTCCCTAGGCAGATGGAATGCTTGTCACAAAATTAAAGTAAAAAAAAAGTTGAACTGCAAGTTGTCTTCACTGTGAGGTTAACTGTAAGAGAAAACATACAACAAAAATTTAAAAATACTTTAATAGAAATCTTTAAACAAATTACAAAATAAAAATGTTATTAAACTTGGCTTTATACAGAGTGCAAATTAAACAAGATAAACAGACAATTAAATTTACGTTACGTTAATACTAGAAAATATGGTGCAGGAATACTGAGAGCTAGGCTGACTAAATTCGTTATCACACAGAGATGTGTTAAAGGGGTCTATTCAGTTGAGCACGCAGGAGTAATATAATTTGTAGTGGGCTAGACAGCCCTATATATATATATATATATATATATATACACACAATGTCAGCCGGGTAGATGGTGCTGGTGACTACTTTAACTATTAACCGGCTCTTAAACTGGTTGTTTCGGGTGGCGTGAGCTCCCGGGGCGTCGCCAGGTGTGAGGTGGGGTGACGGGCAGTGGTGAAGGGGGGGAGACTGGTAGTACTGTCTAGACGTTTGGAAGTTGTTGTTGCTGCTGCAGTACTTGAATATATAGATGTGGTAATGGGTAGAATAGGTGATAATGGAGCAGGCCGAATCTCTTGCTAAAGATTTTACCATGACATAGCCTTTAAATGTTAAAAAAAAAAAGCTATTTATGTTTGTTACAAACTGGTCACAAAGGGTATAAGTAAGATAAGCTCACTATCTTTGCCCCATTACTCTTAACATGTATCAGACAATACACATGTACAATCCATATATACAAACCAACTAACAGCAGCTTCATGGGATCCTTTATAGATGTAAAAATTGGCTTGAAAATCACTTTCGTATAAGACATTGGGCAACAGATAACTAGTGAAAAAATGCAACTGCTGTACATAGACATGTTAGAATCTCATAAAATGAAAATACAGTATGTAAAGGCTATATCATACGAAATTTAGCATCTGCAAAAAAAAAAAAAAAAAAAAAAAAAAACCTGGGTAGGTTATGAAAACCTTCAAATCAAGGCAGGCAAAATATCTGAAATGCAAGAAATAGAAAATATGTACTGTACACTTGACAGTAAAGCATCTAAATTACTGAGACTGTTTTAAAACAATATGAATATGCACTGAAATGGAGACAGAGATGTCGCATTATACATACATGCAGGAGGCATGAAGGTCTGGTTCCAATTATAAGGAAAAAAAAATTGCATGAGCAATAGCTATTGTTTGAAATGCAGAATATACCAGTGAATAGCATAGGCAGACAGAGCAGTTGACTGCTATGGATTCTTGTGACCCTTAGCTTTTTAACCACTTAATATTAAATATAGTTAAATATTTAATTATATTAGTATACAGGTGTATATATATATACAGTATACTAAAATTAAATATAGTAACCACTCAATTTAATGACCTATAAGGGACTATACCCTACTCCCCCAACCAGGACACAGTAGTTGCTAAATCTGAAGTTGTTGAATGTCGATAACACTTGGTTATTTTTGGGCCCGCAAAATACTTTCTTAATGAAACTTATTGTGTTTATTGTGAAACACACATTCAACACAAGGAATTCAAGCAAAGAAAATAAAGGTGCCCCAAAAATATTAATGTTATCTTTCGCAAAGAGACTGGTAGGCGGAACAAGGTAAGCGAGAAGGTGGAGAAGGCCATAACCGTCGGTAGTTTAAAAGCGTTATATGACATACTGGGAAGACAGATGCCACGAGCATAGCCTCATAATGTAACTACACTTGGGTAATTAAACATGCATTCACATTTTGCCAACTAATTACACCCATTGTAATTTTACCGGCCATGTTATGGGGGTCTAACAATTATGAGAGGTGGGCACACGTCATTCTGAGCCTTGTGTCATTCAGATTTAGGTAGGTGCTATGATTCCATGTGTTTTCTGATCTTACTTTTTAGCACCTCAAACATTTTAATGATATGTGATGTTAGTGCTATTAGTCTGTAATATTTTGTGTCTGATTTATTACCTCCTTTGTGAAGTGGCACAATTTGTACAGTTTATATGTTTTAGATAACACCAGTGTTGACTCTGTCTCCAAGTACCGTACTGTACTGTAATGTTTAGGGCCTGCAATAGTGGGATTTTTGCAATTTGTGATGAATATAAATTCCAGAAATCTGGGCAGGGTGCAAAGTGCATGGGTGTGCTATAAGAAATTACAAAACATTTTGAGATAAATTACCAAAAATGGGGCAGCTGTTTGGTAAACTGAAAATGCAGAAATGCAAATCAGCCAGAATTGTTATCCTGACTTTAGAAGGTACTGTACAGGTTCAGACCAACTGCATCTAGGTGACTAACCTGTACTGTACAGTATTAAGGATATCTTGTCAAAATTTTGATTATCTTACCACATACTGTACATACATACTGTACATACATACTGTACATACATACATACATACATACATACATACATACATACATACATACATACATACATACATACATACATACATACATAAATAATTGTATATACTGTATAGATATCTCTGAAATTTGACACAGTAGATTCTCAGCTTTGTGACCATCTTGTGGTGTTACTTTAGAATTAGTAATATATTTCTATTGTACTGAACAGTTGCAGCAACCTGGGCATGTGGAGTTGTGCTAATATTCCAGGGTACGGGTTGTGCTAATATTCCAGGGTACGGGTTGTGCTAATATTCCAGGGTAGCAGGATTATTATAACTTGTGTACATCATCTGTTTCCCACACACGAAAATTATTTAATAGTCGCAATATTATTTGTATCATGAAATATTGTACCTTATGTAGTTCTTTTGTTTCCAGCTGAAAACCTTGAAGAGTAATGAGAAAGCACAGACAGAGAGCCTGCTGAAAACATTAGGGTATATGAACAAGATATCTGCAGGACACAAGTATGAACGGTGGATTAAGGCTATTGAGGAAGCAAAAGCTGCTTCACTAATGGATAGGTGAGTACTTAATCAACTGAAAACTGCTTACTTGCACTTGATCTTGGCAATATCTAGTGGCTTTCTGAAATTAATGAGGTGTTACATGCATGTGGCTTATTTCATTCCTGTACATGTGTACTTTTTATAGTGGGGCAAATGAGGCCTTATAATCTATCATCTGCTACAATCTAGTATTTAATTTTTAGCTTATTATTTTTTGTTAGCTCCTATTGCTAATAAATTTAGCTCCCTTTGAAGATTTTAATTTAGGCATCACTGCTTCTCAGTCTTGCTAGAGCTTCTGTGGTGTGGACATGTGGTGCAAGGGACTGGTACAGTACTCGCCTAGTTGTGTTTGCGAGGTTGAGCTTTGGGTCTATGGTCCCGTCTCTCAACTGTCAATCGACTGGTGTACTGATTCTTGAGCCTATTAGGCTCTATCATATCTACATTTGAAACTGTGTATGGAGTCTGCCTCCACCACATTACTGCCTAATGCATTCCATTTGTTAATTACTAACACTGAATAAAATCTTTCTAATGTCTCTGTGGCTCATTTGGGTACTAAGTTTCCACCTGTGTCCCCTTGTTTGCCTACCACCCATGCTAAATAGTTTGTCTTTGTTCACCCTGTCAGTTCCTCTGAGAATTTTGTAGGTGGTGATCATGTCTCCTATTACTCTTCTGCATCTGTGCATGTAGTGATAACTTGATAAAGTGTGAAGCAACGGATAAGAATTACACACACAGTGCTGCAATTCATTTATTATTAAAGGCCACAGCAGCACCAGAAAATAGTTAAGGCAGGTGCTACCGTGGATGATAGACAAACTGCCGTATGCGAATAAGAGTTATCTGGAGTCGAGTTGATTTCGGGGCTTTTTTTAGTGTCCCCGCGGCCCGGTCCTTGACCAGGCCTCCACCCCCAGGAAGCAGCCCGTGACAGCTGACTAACTCCCAGGTACCTATTTACTGCTAGGTAACAAGGGCATAGGGTGAAAGAAACTGCCCATCATTTCTCGCTGGTTCCCGGGATCGAACCCGGGACAACGGGATCACAAGTCCAGTGTGCTGTCCGCTCGGCCGACCAGCTCCCGTGAGTGAGCAAATAATATGTGACAGCTGTAGAGAAAATAATTGGTGTTGAAGAAATGCAAGGAAGTGTTTACTTAAAATATGGATTATCAACAGTAGAAATGTGCTGAGCTAAATTGAGCAAATAAGACAGAACTTGTTAAGAGATTCCAAAATATAGCCGGTAAAGATAGTTTTCTTTAAACAGTAAGCCCAACCACTTGGGCTGGACGGTAGAGCGACTGTCTCGCTTCATGCAGGTCGGCGTTCAATCCCGACTGTCCTAGTACCATTTCTCCCCCCCCCCCCCCATCCCAAATCCTTATCCTGATCCCTTCTAAGTGCTATATAGTCGTAATGGCTTGGCACATTCCCTCTCGTAAACAGTAAGTGCTAGAATCACTACTACTATGATAACTACATCATTACCACCACCATCCTTTTTTTGCTGTTACCAATCTCATTTCATCCACCCTATGTCTGTACAATATTGTGCTCATCATTCCACATCTTTGTGTTCTGTGAGATATCATGGCCTGGGGGATACCTCAGTTGGTCAATTATGATCAAAACATACCTGTTTAAGTGTCATTATTTCTCACAGTGCCACCTTCCTTTAACCCCGTCTCCCTCGTACACACTTTCCAGTTCTGCTTATAGCATTTTGTATTATTTCCACCATTGCTGTACAGTACTTCACTGTTCTCTGCATTTTATGGAAAGTGTTTTAATATAAACGTATTATTATAATGCATTATTGAGTACCTTCCACCTTATTATGCAGAGATCCATTTCTTTATTTGATTTTGTTTAGAGTTCTGTGATAGGTACAGTGTGTTATTGTGTGCATTGATATGTAAACATTTTATTTTGGTCTTTTTCAGATATGAAAGAATACAGAAGTATGCCTTGCAAAACTCTGAAATTAAGGCTCAAAATGAAAAGAAAATTGTTGACAAACTTTCCCACAAAAATCTTTCTATGGTTAAATTCAGGAATCCTGCTGTTGAGGATAAACCAGAGAAGAGGAAAAGAGGACGTCCAAGAAAAATCCGTCCAGAGGACCTGCCTGTTACAAAATCTCTGAAGTCAAATGGTGACTCGACAGACGGGGAGTTTTCTGGTTTTGATGAGAATTCTTCATTTGAGGATAAGAAGAAAAAGGCTGACTTAGTGGCTAAGCTGAGTAAGGAAGGTGACTTTGCTGTGTATGCTGAAAATCATTTAGAAAATTTTATGCTAGAAAACCCAGACACGTGTGAAGAAACTGCTCGAAACAAATTAAGATGGAAATGGAAGATGTCAAGTTCAGCGACAGAAAAATACAAATCGAAGCTTACGTATGAAAATAAATTGATATCAAAAGACTGTGATATGAATATGCTGAAGCGTAAGCTTGGTAGTCCTATAGAGAAATATGAGGAATGTGATGAAAATGATGCATTGTCTATAAAACGTCAAAGAACAGAGGATGAAGTAGATGGTATACGTGGTGTTTACAAAGTAGTTCGTAATGAGAAAGTGTGTTACCGGTGTGAAGGTGTGAGTGTAAAGGCTGGAGCTGATATGATTCGCTGTAAAGGACTCTGTTGTGGTGTTTTTCACCTCTCGTGCTTAGGTTTAAGTTCAATGCCAAAAAGGGATTTTAAATGTGAAGAATGTCAAACTGGACAGCATGCATGTTTCCACTGCAAGATAGTTGGTGGTATAATGCAGAGATGCACTGTACCTTTCTGTGGCAGGTTCTATCATGAGGAATGCTTGCAAAACTGGCCTCAAGTCTCCAAACAGCGGCAACAGGAGGTATGTTTGTGTGATTTTAATTTATTAGAATTTTATTGGTGTTTTGTTTTACATCATTTGGGGAGTAGAAGAACTCCCAGAACTCCATCAAGCAGGTATAAATTTTATAAGTTTTATTTGAAATGTCTTTTCCCCCTCATCAGCCTTTAGTTTTTTCTTCATCTGGAAATTCATCACCTCTGCAAAAATAATTATTGACAAGTCAGAGTAAGTTGCATGCATGAATCAAGCATTCTTGAAGTAAAAGTAGTTCAGGAAATCTTGTTAGATAACTTTTAATGATGCTGTGTAGGTTTAGCAACCTTCACAATCATTGTCGTTCTTAATGTGAGCCCTCTGCTTTTACACACATACCATAGCAATAATCTATTCTTTACAAATTGTATGGCCTGGACTAATTTCCTCGAATCTACTTGTTTGCTTCTCTGTTGGTAAACCCCTCCAAACCAAAACATGTTTCATCTGGATTGTAAACCATGCAAAGCAATTTTCAATTATAAAGTGTGGTTTTTAAAGTACAGTGTAATATACAGTTATATTTTGAGAATAAACCCTGTTTAGTACATGGGTTCACTTGCCAGTTCACCAAACACTAGTAATGGAACCTTAATAAGCTTCCAGAACGTCATAAATATCTAGGTGGTTTAAACAGGTAGGATGGACACTTACTAGTCACTAGGGTCAATTCATAAATGCTTTTTCTAAATAGTAAAATCCACTGTGTGTACTTAGTTTATAAATCAACTAACTTGAGGATGGGCTCCTGTATACACATTATACATAACTATCTATATTTGTATGCACCATACCAAACCACTAAGCAGTTCTGGTGGGCATTGTAATGAAATTTGAGCACAGCATAGTGCCACAAGCTACTCAACTGACGACACCACTTGACTTGGTAAAATTATGCCTCCCAATGTACTATGCTCAACACTAACTCTAGTCACAACAATGCTGTTATTAGAATATTGTTAACTAAATCATGAATATGAATAACTTTCCTCAAGTTTATTTTCTAAAGGAACATGAGGTTCCATTTCATGATGCATTGATGCATGATTCCATGATGGCATTTGTTTCCTGAAGATCTGGGGGAAGCAAATGTGAACTCCGTGTATGTGCAGGACTTGAATTTCCTGTGGTATTTTAAATCGTTCCTCATTGACTCGGGCAGTGGGATAAAAAATGGTGCGATTGTTACGGCCTCACTTGGCCAGTATCCGTTTTTTTTCAACTCAAACTTTTTATGGGGCCTCTTCTTACTTGATCCAACCCTTAGTCATAGGTAAGGTAAGAACTGGCAGTAATAGTCAATTCAGCAAGAATAGGGGTAAACAACACTAAACCCCACCATTACCACATGTACTTCTTAACTATATACACTTCTTACATAAAACATAATATCGCACGTGAAACGATGAAATGAAACCAACTAAGAATTAAAATATTCTATATCTGGTCTTTACAAGCAATGAAGACATAATCAGGGACGTTACGATCTCTGATACCACATACTTGGATCACAAGCTCATTAAAGTGCAATCTAACATCAATACTCATAATAGAGCGTGAGGGTTTATTCAGTAAATTCAATTTTAATAATAAAAGGATAGACTGGGGAAAAAATAAACAGGAAACTTACAAACATTCAATGGGAAACTTCTAAGTTTCTAACACTTTAGAACTTTCTAAAGTTAAATTTTTGAGTTGAGAGTTTCTTTAACTCTTCTAAGTTAAGTATGGATCCCAAACCTGCTCATAAAAATAACTCCACATGAAATCAGAAGGCATAGCAGGATGTGCAGAATACCCCTGTTGAAAAGCAGAGGTGCATTAGGTACTCTGAGAGAGAAAACTCTATCAACATCAGAGCCCAAAACTGTTCAACATGCTTCCACTACACTTAAGGGGCATAACTGGCCGACCCCTCACAGTGTTCATTACTTCGCTTTTTTTGTCTCTTCGGATACAACTGCCTGGCAATACATGTTGTCTATATTTTGTTGCAGTGTGGCTATTTCCTATACTCAAATTAATACTCTTTAGGTCCATGCCATTTTAGATCAGTCATCTGGAATTTTATACATGTGATGTTCTTGACTGATATTTGCCTTAACAGACAATAGAACAGTTACAGATAATGTAAAATAACCATTAACATGTAAATTCATTACCTGAATTGTTTCAGAGATTTGTTTGCCCTCGTCATGTTTGTCACATGTGTGCTGCCAATGCTGATGACATGGGTGACCCAGTTGCAAGAAATCCTCCATTCACTCGCTGTTTGAGATGTCCGACTACTTACCACACAGGTATGTATGTCAGTTGAATGCTCATTGTTCTTTTGAGTGTTGAGATGTGGCTGTGTCTGTGTCCACTCTCCACCATTTGATGGATGCACTCAGCTATATTTTTCCCTGAATTTTAGAAGTGTTTAATCTTTGCAAAATTTCTTCCTGCCTAAGATAAATAGTCTTTGAATTTGGGCTGACATTTGCTCAGGTCTCAAAGACAAGTGAGGGTTGTGTGGTTGTTTTATTGAATGTGGACCAGATGAGTCTGTAAGTGGTGTAAGTCTTTTAGGAATAGTTCAATGTGCTAGGTTTATGTAAAACAAAATGAAATGAGAATGAGACAATAAATGGATTAAATATTATAAGCATCGAAGTGAAAGAAAATGGGATTAAAGGCGGGGAGTGTGTGTGTATGTGCATCGTGTGATGATGCAAGTTAAAATGAAAAACTGTGTTTTTGGGGGTAGCTTAAAGAATGTAGCATTTTGTTGTAAGCTTCTTTCCAAATGTAACAAAAATAGATTAAAAAACAAATAATTCCATATACAGTAATGTACAGGTACTTGTATGGATATTTAGAATTTAAATTTAAATTCTGAATGATATCAGTTTCTGAAATTTTGATATAGTACACACAGAAATCACAAGAACGTGGTATATCAAATGAACAAATCCACAAGTGTCGAACCATGTCGTGGTACAGTTGACTAAGGACCATAGATGCTGGGAACATCCTGTGTGTGGGTTCGAACCCTCATCATGGCCCCTTTGGATTTGTTCATTTGATATAGTTTTATCTTAATTTTACCTTTTCTTTTCTAATATAAGTTCTTTTAAGTAAATTATGTTCTTTATATTTATTATTAATCATTATATCGGTGATAATGGTCAGTGTTCTGAACAGGGACAAGGTATACGAAGGGTTTGGGTCAATCATATTGGCTGATGTGCTGTTTGTTCTCTTGCTGCTTCAGGACCTAATTACCTGTTTTGAAGGCTAGGTGTCTGAGCAAATATTACAGGATGTATACATTTTTTCTGATACATTTAGTAAAACTTAGTAGTGAAGTACATTTTTGTAATTGAAGTGCTTTCACTTTATCACATCCAAGTGTTAAAAGTACTTGTATTTAGTAACCTGGTTCAAGTTAAATACACGTCACAATTCGCCTATATATGTCAGATATTTATTGGAGTTGCAAATATTTTTAGATGATGTGGTATTTAGGTTGGTCGTAGAGTCTTACTTTCATTTTCAGCTACAATAAATATAGTCATGCACTTCTATCATATCTGTTTAGTCCACCCAGTTACAGATTTTGTCTAAATGAGTGCAGAATATCTTTTATGGTACAGTTTCTTAGCATAATCTTTGTATGCTTACATGGGTTCCCTCATCTTGGACAGCTCAAGGCTGCATGCTTTCGTTTTCTGTATCTTTCGAGTGTTTTGTTGGCTTGAACCGCATGATGTATACATGCTCTTTGATTGCAGAAGGTCTTGGTGTTAATGAAGTTGGATTATTGTATTGGTGTGAATGGATTTCCTCAGCAGCACCAGGTAGGTTATGAACCATAGATTCCGCCTACCATGTCTAGTCACCGATTGTCTCCAAACTTCTAACCTATTGATAGATGAATTTGTGATGTCAGTTACTGGATGCATGTATTGGTATTATATTTATATATGTCGTACCAGATTTTTTCACTTTTGCCTCTGCTTTAAATAATATCCAGCAATTTCTGACTTTGCTCATGTTTTGCACATCTCTTTTTGCTATTGGATAATTTAAATTATTAATTCCTTCTCAACCTGATTTTGTCTTGCATTGTACGGAAAAGTCAATTCTTCTATTTTATCAAAGATAGTTTACTGCAAATATTTTGCTGATGCTAAAGACTTCATTCCTCAAAGTTTCATGTCCATTATTTTTAGAGCATTTTTTCTTCCATAAAGACACTGTTCATGTATATACTGATGGCTATTGATCCTGATGCTCTACCAGATTTGGGCAGTCTTTCCTGGATGTTCTCTACCATAGCATCCATATTTACTAAAGAACTCTGCTATTCTCTGTTACATCAGCCTTCATCTGTTACTCAACGATCTCACTAGATTTGCTATACTATTCTCATAGCACCCTTGAAGCATTGCAACTCATACTCATTACACCAAACCCTTTTTATAAGGTGTGCCTTCATGGGGGTACCTCGCTCGATCATTTTCATCTGAAATATGTAAAGTTGATAATTTTGTATTTTTTCTTCATTAGGTGAAGATTGTATAGCTGCAGGAACCGAGGAAGTATCCCAGAGTCACCATATATGTACCAAACATCTTAAAATACCCAAGAACGGCACCCACCATGTGAATGTTAATTGGTGCTTCTGCTGCTCGAAGGTTTGTGCACTTGTAACTAATAGTTTGCATTTACAATTACCCAGTGCTCTGTAGCTGATCATTTTCTTGATAACTTATGTTGTCAAATATTTTATATTACAAATCCTCATGCTCTGTTAAAAATTTATTGTCTAGATGCTGATAGTTTGGTAGTTTTAGTAGCTAGCATTCTTTTTTTTTTGGTGGGGGGGGGGGGGATAATATTCTGAAAATGGGCTAGACGTAGCATCAATGAACGACACTCATTATGTGTTAATGACTTCAACTGATTTTTGTTGGCACCTTACCTTCCTTGAGGGAGGGTAAACTCGTGTACAGTTTTGAACCACATTTGGATTGATAGCAGTGAAACGTGGTTTTAAGGTCAGATTGGAGATGAATTTCACTTGCTCACACGAATTATTAAAGTTGCAATTGAAAACAGTGTGAGTCAACTGAAACGAATTATAAAGGGCAAAGCTGATTCATTGTAATGGGGTTTTTGGTCAACACTTTAGGTCCCACCAAACTTGTATGCAAAATTTTTGTGTGGTTTTGGAGGGCCTCAACCACTATTGCATGTGCAGGTTTGTTATTTACCCGGAGAGTATTATAGTGAAATATCATTATAGACACTGTGAAGCATATTTAGCTTGCTACAAATGCTGTATGCCATAAGCAACCATTGTCCAACACTGAATTAATAAAAAAATATATAAAATTATTCTACAATCGTTGAGTTTGCCTGTCAGATATGACGGGTGAGTCTCAAACTTATTTTGCCTGCGTTTCACTTTTGGAATAAATATTTGTGCACACCACATAGAATATTTAATTGATTAGAAATACGTAAAACAAAAAAAAATCCTTTTAGTACTTAATTCATGACTTGGAACACAGAAGTGCTTTATAATATGATTATGGAATGTCCAGTGTAAAACAGTACAGCTACATAAAAGCATGATTCATTCTCAAAATATACTTTTAAATAGGCTTTTTACGCATATAACCTTGAATAACTATTCGAGCAGTTACAGGTGTGAGGCTCTTTTATGCAGGTATTCTCATTTTTTTGGGGTCTGTTTTGAGACAAACTTTCATCTCCTTATGTACAAAGAAGTCTTTCTCTTTTCTGGTCTTTGTTGATAATAAAAATATCTGTATTATACTGTATATTTAAATGTTTCATCTAAAAGCTCTCAAAATGTACTCTAGAAAGGAGATGAGAGAGGTGTCAAATACATGAAAGGTACTGGAGGGCCAAGTCTCAAATTTGCACAGTATAATAACATCAAATTAAAGTGAATGATACACATGGTTGTTCAGTAGCCCCGCAGCAAGTGTAAGAAATATTGCCAGAGTAAAAGTGGAAGTGTTCAAGAAAAAAACAGGATTTTTTTTTTTTCCAAGAAGTGCCGGGCCAACCGGGTTGTAGTGGATATATGTGTACTTGTGGGCTACTCCAAGCAACAGCCTGTTGGACCAAGGTCCAGAGGTCAAGCTTGGCCCTGGGCCAGGCTTGGGGAGTACTACAACTCCCATAGCCTTACCCAGGTACTTGCCATCCTATTACTTAATCGTAATTGTTCTGGGCATGAATGAAATGCAATAAAGCATGGTGCAATGACTATAAAGTTTTACAATTCTGTGTAATCATGTTTTAAATCATAATATTTGTCATATTTGAATTTGTTTAAAAGGTTGCATGTCTGAACAGAAGTTTACATTTAAATTAGGTTGGCTGTTAAGACAGCTGTCTCAGCATTCTTGCTCGGTGACGGCTTGGGCTAACCATTTTCATAGAACTTAACATTTGTTCGATATTCTACAATTTGCACTGAACGTGAACTGTTGAGCTCATGCAGGGATTCAATAGAGTTAGTCAATTATTTATGTTGATGATGGGGGTGCTAACCTGGAGAGGGAGATCTAGCTCTTTATACCTCCTCCTAGCCTTTTATGGGTATGCTAATTTACTTTTCTTGGTGTTAAAATTTCCATCATATTTTTGCTTATACTACTATAATGCATTCAACTTGCTGAGCATCGTACAGGGTACGAGAATTACCTCACATCTCTACGACTCAATTGTGTATCCAGCTTCCATCGATGTCATTTGTCCTATCTTCCAATTGAAATATGCTACCCCTTATCTAAGTCTTATTTCCCCAAGTGTCTTGTAAGTAGTGATCACATGCCTTTTCTAAGGTTGTGAGGTTAAGGAACCTTAACTTACCTGAGCCCTCTCAATTCCCTCTCAATTTAATTGAGAGGGCTTTCCCAACTTTCTCTGGTTTTCATTTGTTCTTCTGGAGGTGTGGGTTTCATGCCGATACTCATCTAGTTGTGCTTCCCGTGGTTGAAAGTTGAGTTTTGTCTTTTGTCCAGCCTTAACTGTCAATCAACTGGTGTTTAAGTTTCTGAGCCTATTGGGCTCTGTATATAGATACCTATCTGTATGGTGTCTGCCTTCACCACAGCACATTGATCACTTCCTGATGCATTCCTTTTATTAACTAATCTGACATTGAAAATTTTCTGTCTTTGTGGCTATTTGGGCACTTAGTTCCCACCTGTGTCCCCTTGTTCATGTACCACCTATGCTAAATATTGCTGCATACTCGAGTAATGGTCACTCATAGTGCATGCGGACTTCAAATTCTCCTTATTTAGATTCTTGAATGTTATTCAAATGTTATCAACTTTCCATCTGCTTCTGACTTTATCCCACTTACATGGACTTCTGGGGTTAGGTTGGATTATTTCCACTCTCAGGTCACTTTTATCTGTTGGTTCTTGTAATTGCATTTCTCTCGGGTGTAATCATACCTATAGTTCTGCTATCTCCTTTCTCCATCTTTATTACCTCGCACTTATTTGGATTGATTTCTGGAAGCCGTTTATATGCCCACTCCTAAAGTTTGGCGGGGTCTCTTGCAGCAAACTATACAGTCAATTTTTCTTTCCTCATTTAGTTTGTATTATCTGTAAATTTTGACATGTTTCAACTTGTACTTTTTGTATGTGTGTGTGAATTCTATGACATTCTGTAGTACATTGATATATGGTTTAGTTGTAAATTAGGCAGTGAGCTACAAAATATGATAAGGACCATCCTCATTTGTCCAAAAACTTTGACATATTGCTAAGCAAGAGTGTTTGAGTATGAGGGAAGTGGGGGTGAAGAAGCTGGTGAGCCATACCAACACTCCACATTTCAATCCAAAATATAAGCTATACGAAATGGGCTCCAGCTGATAATAGACAAATTATCAGATGGGCCCATTTTTCTTCTAACTTTGCTTTAACACCCGTCAACTACTTGTTACACAATACCTACTGGTGTATCTAAATTCTCAATTGTAGTTGAGCAAAAGACTGAGTAGATTCTGGCACTTTACATAGGCTGCATACAGCTGTATTTATACTAGATTGTCTATAAATCATAATATGTAGTGCAAGTGTTGCCCACTATAATATGTATGCTGTACATACCTGTGTAATTAATCAAGTTCAGAATATTGACTTTATCTAATATAGTAAATGATCCTTGTATGGTGTTACAGCTCGTACAGTGTCAACATGAACCTTTGTGTATCCATGCATAGTTATACCGTGATTTCTTGGGTAATTAAGATTTTTAACTGTTAAACATCATTTATACAATTAATTAATATTACTTCTTTGTGGTAAGATATACACCTAATTCGTGCCAGGCGTTACCAAACGGATCTCTCATTAATGTGATTGCAATTGGATATACTTTTCTTACATTATAATAGTCGCAAAATATACATAAATGTAACATTTAATTTTAGTGGACAATTCCTTGATACCAAATTCTCATCATATTTCAAGGTTTGAAGTATTGTGGGTAGCAGTTAAATGATGTTTAATTTATTATGATACTTATTATAATTATTAATAATGTTTTTACATTATATGCTGTTGGCTAGCTAGGCCTGTCACAGCAGTGTGGTAGTTACTTCCATACCAAGAATACATTGGTACTCATTCATTTACCCTCCGGAAGGGAGGATGAACAGCCTGCGTGAGGTGTGTGCCTGCTGCCCGCATCGGGGATTGAGCTCAGGCCTGTAGATTAGCAGTCAGCAACACTAACCATTGCACCACGAGGGCATGGATACTGAGAAATATCCAAGATAAGTCTGGAAGGTATACAGATGGCAGATGCTCTGAATAATACAAGGGGAAAATGTTGTGATTATAAAGTGTAGCCTAGCTTTTTGAAATGTGTAATTCACTCTACAGTATTTTGATATGTAGGAGCAAAATGGAAGTATTCAGTATTATACTAGGATTAATTGCCATGAGTTAAAGTATTGGAAATATTTGTGGATGTGGTTTTGTGATGGGTATCAAAAGATCTGTATGAAGTTGTGCAAGGTTATGAATGTTTGGGGGGTAGTGATTAAACAATGATAGATGATGAGAAATCGGGAATTAGGTCGATAATTCTCCTGGTTCGTATGTGATTGACCTAACTGAACTATGTATAATGTCCCCATTTGACTTTTGTATGTTAGTAAATCCATTATCTCTTGATCTTATACTGACATTTCGGACAGGTACATACATGGTACATCATATCGACAGGTACATCATATATGGGCATTTCTTTGTATTGATATTAGCATTTCATTGTTTATTTTTTGGTAATTAACACACACTCACTCATGCTCTCTTATACTTTTATTATCTCGATCATTCTCACTCATTCTCTCACTCTCACTCACTCACTCGCACTCTCTCTCACTCGCTCTCACTTTCACTCACTCTCTGTCTCACTCTCACTTTCTCACTCACTCACTCACTCTTTCTCTCACTCTCATAGGGTGCTTGGTGCCTGAGTGGACAGCACTCAGGACTCGCAATCCTGGGGACCAGGGATCGATCCCCGGCGATGGCTAAAAACAAATGGGCATAGTTTCTTTCACCCTGATGCCCCTGTTACCTAGCAGTAAATAGATGCCTGGGAGTTACAGCTGTTATGGGCTGCTTCCTGGGTGTGTGTGTGAAAAAAATAGTAGTTAGTAACAGTTGATTGACAGTTAAGAGGCGGGCCGAAAGAGCAGAGCTCAACCCCCGCAAGCACAACTAGGTGAATATACACATACACACGAATCTGTAGACCAGATGATTGACAGTTGAAAGGCAGGACAAAAGAGCCAAAGCTCAACCCAACCCCCCCACAAGCACAACTAGGTGAGTACACAGCATATATTGTGCTAGCAGACTGAGTATGGAATTTGGGACCCCTTGAGTACCCCTATGCCCTTTGGACCTTTCCTACCTCTCAGACACCCCCTAGGTGGTCAGAACCTTTTCCCCCCCCTCCCCCCAGCTCCCCCCAGAGATCTCCCTAATTGCTTATACCCCCCCCCCCCCCCACCCCCCCCCCCCCCCCCCCCCCCCCCCCCCCCCCCCCGCCTTCCTCCTGGCTCCCAGATCCTCTCAGCCTCTTATCCACTTCCCTATTCCCAGGCACTTTCCACCTCACAACCACTTATAGGAGATAGGACTGCATCCATCTCTCACCTGCAGCTCACACAGAAAAAGACAGGTAGGCAGATGAGCTATATGAACTCTTGTTACCAGAGTTTCCAAGAAGAGTCTCAAGGTTTTGTACACCAATGCTGATGGGGTATCCAATAGAGGAGAGGAAATAAAAGAAAGTGTTAGTGAAGCAGATCCAGACATAATTGCAATAGTGGAAACTAAAATAAATTATATGATTTTAGATGCAATCTTCCCATGTGAATACCACGTGATAAGTCAAGAAATGACACAGACAGGAAGGGGGAGTGGCACTCCTCATAAAGTGGAAATAGAATTTTGAGGAACTAATGGAAACTCAAGCTTCATACTTGGGATTCTGACAGGTGATGGGAAAAGGATTTTGAACTTTATAATCTATCATCCCCCACCAAACAATAGAAGGCTCAGACAGGAATATAATGATAACAGCAAAACATGTATAAATGAACTGCATAGGGAAGCAGCAACAACTCAATTATTGAGAGTGAAACTGTTGGTCATGGGGACCTAAATCATGGAGAGATCAATTGGGAATCAAGAAATCCCCATGTTGGGGAAAAAATGTGGGGAGCAAAATTAGTGGAAGTTATAAACAGGAATTTCCTAACACAACATGTGAAGGAAGATGCAAGGGAAAGAGCAGGGGATTCACCAAACCTATTAAACCTGATTTTCACCCAGAATGAGGAAGACATTACAAAAATTGAACATGAAATGCCACTAGGAAGGAGCCTGTGACCATTGTGTCCTGGTCTTTGACTTCATGATCTTGTTTATAATTGTGACCACAGGGCAAGAGGTCTGGGAAAGGATAGTGGACTATAAGAATGGAACTTAGAGGAAGATAAGAATATCTGGCAGAAGTTCAGTGGAAGGAAGAACCGAGAGGAAAAAACAGTGCAAGATATGATGGACTTAGTCAAGTGGAAATGCAAAGAGGCCAAAGAGTTTTATACCAACAGTAAAAGAAAAAAGTAGGAGGTAATATAAAAACCCATGGTTTAATAGACAGTGAGAGGAAGCAAAAATGAGAAGCTGGAGGGAGTGGGGAAAGTACAGAGGACAGTAAGATTTATATGCAACAGATCTAGGAATGAATACATTAATATAAGGAGAGTATCGGAAAGGAATTATGAAAACATTATTGCAATGAAAGAGAAAAATTAACCTAAATTACTACATAGTGATATAAGGAGGAAAATGTCGGTGAACGACCAAGCGACAATACTAAGGAAAACAGAAGGGGCATATGCAGTAAGCGATAAGGAAATATGCAAGGTATTGGACGTCGATTTTCAAATTTCCAATTTCACAACCGAGCCTGAGCAGCTCCCATTGTTAGAAGAGTAAATCATTCAAGATGAGAGACTAATTGATATAGGAGTGAGAGCAGAGGGGGTAATGAGACGGCTAACAACACTGGATGAAACTAAAGCAGTTGGATCAGACAATGTATCATCGTGGATACTAAAAGAGGGAGCGCAGGCCCTCAGTGTGCCTCTAACAAAGATCTATAATGAGTCACTTATGAAGGGAGAGTTGCCCAGTTGCTTTAAGGGGGCCTCAGATTCCAATTTGCCCTAAAAATGCAACAAATGAAAACTCGTTCGATTTCAATCAAACTTTTTTGACAAGTTCTATATGAAAAGTGTTTCATCTGGTCCAAGTTTCAGCGTTGTAGCATAAATAGGAAGGGAGAAAAAAAATATTGAAGTAGTTGTGAAAATTATGCCAAAATGGTCAAAATCGATTATCAATCAAAAGTGTCAACTGAAATCATAGCTATGACTCTTTGCTATTACAATAGCATATATTAAACAAATATTATAATCAGTTTAATTGAAAAAAAAAATTAAGAAATTTTTTTTTGTTTGTTTGGCAATTTGCATCAAACTTACACACCTGACTGTACGTAAGCCTATCTGTAAGGATGCCAATTTTGGAGAAAATTGGTTGATGTCAACCTCCGCCACAGATTTTAGAACCTTAGACTTTATTCATTTCTGTTTTTTTTTTCAATTGACACAAACGTTTACAAAACTGATTCATTTTTTATTCAATTTACATGAAACTTGCACAGTATATGTGGAGGGCATGTCTCTACATTGGAGAGTTTTCATTTTTCTTTAAGTTCATTTATTGATTTTATAATAGCAATACACATGCCATATTTGCAAAAAAAAATTTGGGGAACTTTGAACATTTGTATTAGGAAAACTAAAGATGTTTTCGAAATTCTATATGTCAAGGTCCTTTATTATATGCTAATGTGTCAGAAAAGTGTCACAGAATAATTATATCTGAAACGTGTGTTCTGAAGTGTGGACTTGAAAATGTGTAAAAAAAACGTTGAAAAAAACAAAACAAAAAAAAAATCTCCCTTTCTATTTACGCTGCAGTACTGAAACTTGGGACAATTAAAGCACTTTTCATATACAACTAGTCAAATAATATTAGTTGACATTGAACAACTTTGACCTGACAACCTGAGGCCCCCTTAAGATGACAAATGTGGTACCAATTTTCAAAGAAAGGAGATAGACACTTTATTACAGACCAATATCATTGACAACCATCCCCGTAAAGTACTGTACTTGAAAAAATAATCAGGTTGATTGGTTACACACTTAAGAGAGCATTAGGTATGTAAACAAATGCCAGGAGTCATTGTTTTAAACAACCGATGGCTAGAAAGGCGGGATCCAAGAGCCAATGCTCACTCTTGCAGGCACAAATAGGTGAGTACACACACACTCACTCACACTTATAAAAGTCTATTAATCATATGTCAAACTCTTAACTGTTTTGTCTGAAAGTACCTGGTACACATCCCTCTTCACTTGCTGCTCAAGCGTAACTGGAGCTGTTTTTTCTTATGAACTGTGATGTGGATCTAGCAATATAGCCTTCTTAAATTTTGCATAATTGAGTGTTAGAATCTTTTGACCCTTGCCACTAACCAGTTAATGAACAATCTCAAGGTTTTGTAATATTCTCTCATCTAACATTCATTAGCTTTACTGTATATATATATTTTAGCACATTTGACTAGCAAAGGTTCTACCATTTCTCCGTTTTAACTTGAAAATATTTTTCCTTATATTTTGCAGGGTGGGTCATTGCTTCTCTGTGATCAGTGTCCTGCAGCTTTTCATGCGGATTGTATGAAAATAACTGCTCCAGAAGGAGGTTATGTCTGTGAAGATTGTGAAAATGGAAAGTTTCCCATCTATGGAGATGTTGTTTGGGTCAAACTTGGATTGTACAGGTTTGTAAATTGGTGTATTAACATAATAATAGGACTGAGTTGATAGTTTTACTATAAAACTAATTTGTATGATGACTGGTATTTGATGTGTTTGTAATAAGCTAACCAAATAATTTATGTATGTACAAGTGGATGTCCATGTTTCATCTGATTGTATTAAATGTGTGGTAAGTGTGTGAATGCCTACGTACATACATATACAGTACTATATTTACATACCTCAGACCTCATGAAACATTTGATTTTGGTTGTTGGCAAAACTTGGTTTCAGGGAAGATTTTGAGAGGGATAGTTTTAATGCAAAAATGTTTGTGCATTTTATTTTACATTTCAATACTTGGCATTTATTTACCTTGAATTTGATTTGCATTGTGTTTCTCCATTCATTTGTTTTGTCTATGATATTTTGAAGGTCATGACAGTCATCTAAGTCTTTTCATTTCTTTATTAATTTTACATCGGCTTGAAAATATTCATGTAACTTGAATCCCCTCATGCTAGATCATTTATATAGACATTGATCATCATTGGCACTAGAACTAAACTTTATGGTACTCTGCTAGTTGCATTTCTTCATTCTAATACAATGCCTCTACATTGGTTTATTTTTGTTAGAAAAGTCTTTTATTCTGTCAGTAGTGTGGCTGTCACATCTTCCCATTGTGTTGAAGCTTCTAGAACAGCTTGTTTTTTGTTTGGGAGGAAAGGGGGGTAGATATGAGTGTTTGTGTCTGAGAGTGCATGTGTTATTAATTAGTAAACATTGTAGTTGCAACATTAGACCTGTGTTGTGGTGTCCTTTCTTCCATATAATCTTTGTCATTGTTTTGAAGCTGCTGGTGGTTTTGGTGTCCTCCACATACCCATTTACATTATTTCACCCAGCTTCAACCCTGCAGAAGAGTACTTTTATAAAACAAGTTTATATTTTTATTTTCTTACCTTAAGAGTTCATGTTCTTGTTCTTGAATTTGCAGGTTTAGAGAGTAATTTTTCAACTTCTTTCTCAAGTGACTAAGTACATAAGAAAATTAGCGAATATTCACATTATAATCATTAATATAACTGTTTCGGTCCTATTTGTTAACACTAAGCTAGAGCACTGGGAGAACATATTCTATTGATTGCCATTGGAACAGGTTTAAAATGGGAAAATTGCAGAAGCTATTGTCTTTAATATTTGGTTGCTTATTCAAGTGAAAATGCTTTATATTAAAACTGTGTGTGTTAGTCTGCACTTTTATCGATTACTTTGTATTCCTATGTAAATTACATACTTAATATATACAAATTGTGTTATTGGACAGATGGTGGCCTGGTCAAGTCTTGCATCCCCGATACATCCCAGACAACATAGAGAACTTGCAGCATCAACAAGGCATGTTCTGTGTTCACTTCTTTGGTTCCAATGACTATTATTGGGTTACCAGAGGACGAGCTTTTCTTTACCAGGAAGGGGTGAGTTGCATTTTTCTGACATTTAATAATTTTATCTCTAATTCTTTTAAGAATGATAGCATACAGAATGCACCCGATTTTCCATGGTGTAATTTAACATGTTATTTCTATTTCAGATTCAGATTTAAAGTTTTTGGTTTAAAGAACTCAACTCTTAGCGAGTTGTATGTACTGTACTACGAAAGTCTTTTTCTGAGCTGGGTCACTCAGTTGTGTTCTTTACAATGTCCTCCTCTTCCTAGGACACGTTTGGTCACAGTCGGGTACTGTACTGTCAAAATTTACTACTTCTCATGACAGATCTTCTTAAAAGTCCTTGCCAGATGACAGGGGGGGGGGGAGGACCTACAAGACAATTTTATTCAGTCCAAAGATTGCCAGGCATTGCTCGGTGACTGTTAGTTGGTTCACCCGATTGTTACCCGAGGCCATCACCAGGTACCAACACCCTTTGTCAAGATTTTTGCAGCGAGTTCTTATCTCAACATTTAGTCTTGCCTTTCCCTAGCTGTATTCTCTTATGTTACAAATTAGAATTCATAACTCTTGTTCATCCTTGACACTTGTTTCATACAAAGTTGGAGAACTCTGCCAATGGTGGCAGCAGTTTTTAATGCATTTCGTTTGCTTGTCGTAATTCTTCTCTTTGTATTTCCTTTTTGTTTTCTGAAGTTAAATCTTAGTGGTGTAGATCAAGAGAGTCTGTTTCTAGCATACCTGGTCACTGGCTGATAAGGACACGTTGCTCCTCTTTGTGGCCTCTGGAGTGGTGATTGTGGAAGCAGCAGCACTGTTGAGTGGGTGCTGAGTTGTCCTGTTCTTTCCTAATTGTACAATACTTACCAAGTTTTGCTTTCCTCCTTTATTTTTTATAAATACAACTTCGTTTTTTATTATTAAAACTAATGTCATCGTCCCGCTACTTCCTTCCCTTCTCTACTGTGTCCCTAATCCTTTATTCCTGTATATGTGTTACTGTATCCCATTTATTCTGTTTTTAAGAATTTCTATTCTAAAATTCTAGTGTTAACTTTCATTCTATATCAATAGGATAAAGGATCCAGAGCACAGTCAAGTAAAACTTTAGAGATGCAGTTTCGACGTGCATTGGAAGAGGCAGGAGAGGCATACAGAGCTCAAATAGCCAAGAAAGCTCAACTGGAGCTGCGGTGGTCTGAAAAGGGAAATTTGGTATGTTTTGGTTAAAAGAATTGTTCAGTTTGGTAATTTTGGCTTAGCAAGTTTTTTTTTTTTTTTTTCATCTAAAATAAGTATTCATGTAGTAAATCTGACATTTGTTATGGAAATGTGAAAAGACGAGAAGAAATCAAGTTACATCATCTCAAGCAGAAGAATAAGTTTTTAAATTCAGAAGGTAACACATGTATTTTATTGAAGCTTTCTTAAAAGTTGTGGCATACATGCTTATTTTACGGAAGTATATAAAGTTCTGTACACATGTTGCCTAGAAATGTAATACAGTACTGGATAGTTTTGGTTTTCATTGCTGAAGCAATAGTCTGTGAATCTGAGTTGTTCAGAACTTATTATTCCTGCTTGCTGTTCATGCATGCAGTGCTGTAATTTGATAATTCCTTTGTTTATTTGCTTGTAACTTTCAATACTTTGTATTATCTTGTTTATACAAATTTTGTGAAAGTGAATAAGTACCTGTGAATACTTTAGTCTTTTTATCCAATAATACTCTTGGACGTAATTCATATAACATAGTAAGTTCTATGAATTTCTTTACTCTTTGGACGGATGGTTAATTTTTTTACATTTGGAATGTTTATGTCATAGAACTAACCATATACTGTATTAAGCTATGTGTATTTTTGTAATTCCATTGGTACTGTAGTTTTAATATTAATAAGTTCTAATATATTTACATTTGATAAAAGTTATGGGGTGTGTGTGTGTTGAGTATATCGGACAAATTTAGGCTTTTACCTAATGATCCACACTTTAGTGCTCCAGACTGGTGCTGCATGCATGCCCAGCTAGAAATGGTTCAGAGATGTGTAAAATTATATACATCTTTGTGTCAAATTGTTTGGGTGGGAGGAGGAGGATGAACACATACTAATGAAACTTAGTCTCTCGGTGTCCATGAACACTGATCATGGACATCAGTGTTCATGAACATGACTTTTGAACACTGTCTTAGATTTATTAGCTTTGTGTGTTTCTAATGCAAACCATTCTGAACACCATCCAAGTTTATTTTGCTTTGTCTTTTGTCATTATAGCATCCGCTTTCACCACCACGAGCCTCTTATTTTAGCAGCCTCTTCTCATTATGCCAGCTTCTCGCCTATCTCTTCTCATTATATTAGCCTGTTTAATAAAGATCAATTATTTAACCACTTACAAGCATTATTCATAAAATCATGCTATACAGTATATGTATTTTTTTCCCCCTACAGAAGCCACCACCATATGTAAGGATTGATTCTAATCGTCCTGTTGGGAATGTACGCCTGAGCAAGATAGACCTAGCAGCTGTTAATAGATGTGATTGTGATCCAAACTCTGAAAATCCTTGTGGTTCTGACGAGAAGTGTTTAAACAGGTTTGTTTCCATATTCCTAGGAGGTGCCTTTTGTATTTTAACTCGTGCATGCAAATGTCTTTCGTTGTCTCACATAAAGGTTTATATATATGATGGAAAAGCAGGCTTGTGTAACTGGAAAGTTACTTAGACAAGGCTTAGGACTACTTGACACAGGAGTCAGTCATATCTAGTGTCTTAAGAGAATTAGAAAGGTCATATCCTTGACTTTAGAGAGTTTTTATTTATGTTAATGACTTGCATGTTTTATGTACGTGTACAGAACAGCATTTATTGTTTTACAGAATGCTCATGTTTGAGTGCATGCGTGAGGTTTGTGGTGCTGGTGACAGGTGTGGGAACCAGAGGTTTCAAAAAAGGCAGTATCCTATGGTGTGCTCTTTTAGAACTGAAACAAGGGGATGGGGTCTCAAAACAACTCAGGATATCAAAAAAGGTAAATATGATTGTCATTCATTACACATTACTATGTTGCAAGATTACTTTACCCTTTGACCGCACAATACTTATATGATTTGACATAAAATATTTTAACATAAGCTTTTAAAACTTGCTCAGACACTTTTTTTCATAATCAACTAGGCAAATGCTTCAACTTTGGGTAAATGATCACAGTGTAACATGAAAAACAAGAGAATCAAAATTAATTTTTAATTAAAATTGAATATTGAAAACTTCAGATTTTAAATTCAGACTAAAAAATATGAACTATCACCAATTGTTCATTTAATGTTGTTATTCTCTCAGAATAGGATATGATCTTCATTTTCATCAAATTAGAATATAAGTTTTCAGTATAGTTTACTGTAAAAAAAATCGTCAATAAGGCATTTGAAATATGCGGCAATTTAGACCCCAAAAAATTGTAACTCCAAATGTATAAAGTTTAGGAAAAATTCATTCTGAAGGTATTGTAGAACAGACAGCTGAGCACATAATATATCAAATGAGTGAGAATTGGTCAAAAACTGGAATTTTAGAAGCTACTCAAAGTTGACACTAGTTTCAGAGATAATTGAAGTTGAAGTTATCGACAATGAATAAAGGTAGTTTTAATTCGTTAATTTAATTGTATGCTTTAATAAACATTGTTTGGCATTTGTACTCAAATATGTGAAAGTTGTAGGTCAATGTGTGTTGAAATGAATTGAAAAACACTGATGGTAAATATAAATGGTTCATTTTACTACATGATAGGAATAATAGCATCAGGTGGATGTGAAACCCCAGAAGGAATATGCTGGCATCAGCAAATCCTCCCAGCATATCACTGAGAAGGTAGCAACATAAATATAGCAAGCAAAGCTACAAATGACCCCACTGAAGTCTATCATATTCTTGAGGTTATCTTGAGATGATTTCGGGGCTTTTTAGTGTCCCCGCGGCCCGGTCCTCGACCAGGCCTCCACCCCCAGGAAGCAGCCCGTGACAGCTGACTAACTCCCAGGTACCTATTTACTGCTAGGTAACAGGGGCATTCAGGGTGAAAGAAACTTTTGCCCATTTGTTTCTGCCTCGTGCGGGAATCGAACCCGCGCCACAGAATTACGAGTCCTGCGCGCTATGCACCAGGCTACGAGGCCCCCCTCCCTCGGGGGAGGGAGGGGGATTATATTATATTATATTAGAGGTTTCCTCAGTATATCTCTTGACAAAGCATTAATATATAGTACAGTATAGACTTAACTCTTGATACAAACTATTTTTCCACCTCACTTGTTACCTCTTGTGTAATTGTTACAGGAGAGTTTGTGATAGAATATGTTGGAGAGCTGATAGATGACGAAGAGTTCCGACGTCGTATTGAGGAGATGCATGAAATAAAAGAGGAAAATTATTACTTTCTCACAATTGACAAGGATATTATGATAGATGCTGGACCAAAGGGTAACCTAGCCAGGTATGTGATTTGTTGTAGCTTGTTTACTGCCTTCCATTTTATCCACTCACTATACTCTCGTGGTCTCCCTTGACTTTCCTCACCATGACTCCATGCATAGTCATCATCTTTTGTTTTACCTATCAGTTGGAAATTATGCATTTATTTCTTAGTACTCATTATGGTGTTCTTAGATAAAAATATGGTGGATAAAAAATCACCTATCTTGTTTCATATCCAAATCTCTAAAATGTTATATCTGTTAATAAACTACAACCCAGTGTTGGTGCCAGAGTTGGACTAGCACATGTTAAAACAGCAAAAGTGAACCTTTTTTTATATAAGCTTAAACATAAATGTGTTCAATGGTGTATCAGTGGAAGGCTCTTCGTGTACATAAAACTCTTACCTTTGTTTCACTATGAAAACTGCTACAGTATTTAAATGTTGACTTTATTTTTCTTCCCTTTCTAATACTTTTAACTCTTCAGATATTCTTCCTTCACCATTCATCAACACACATTAAACTGGATAAATCCCATGGTTCCCCGTTAACCAAAAATAAACAAGTACTAAATGTCTGTTACAAACAATTCTGAAAATGCAAGTCATAATCTGATCTAACTGTTGACCAATAAATTTTCAGAGATGGCAGGTCATTTAGCCTTTTGCCGTTTCTAGACATCCATGTGCCAATGCTAGTGTTGAACATATTTTTATCTTAAATTTTGCCATTTCATTGTTCAGTAGCATTCAATGTTGAACTTATTTTATAACACAACCTTTCCCTTGGAATCTCTTTTTTTTTTTTATAGGCTCTATCTTTCTTGAGTGCTTGTACCCTCATAAAGAGCAAACGGCTCTAAGATGCCTATATTTCTCAGGTTCATGAACCATTCCTGCCAACCCAACTGTGAAACTCAGAAGTGGACAGTAGGTGGGGATACCCGAGTAGGCCTCTTTGCCATTGAGGATATTCCTGCCGGTTTTGAGCTCACCTTCAATTATAATTTGCAATGTGTTGGAACAGAAAAGAAACGATGCTGCTGTGGTGCTCCAAACTGTAGTAGCTTCATTGGTGTTAAAGTACAAAAGGTATGAATTTTCAAGAATTTTACCTGTTCCTTAATGTATTAAAATTTTAAGTATACTAGTGTAAAGTTTTGTCTTTTCTATTAAGTTCTTTTTCATGCGTTCACTACATTGGTTCTAAGAGACAATGCACCATTATGCTATTTAACATGACAATAAAAAAAATTTGGGTATATTAAATAATTATATATTAAACTTGTTGGTAAAGGGAGACTGCCGTGTATGTGGCCTCACCATCTTCACACGTATTTCAAACTGTTACCAATTACATAATTTTTGGGTCCTTTCTGCAATATATCTGTACTTTAATTGTAGCAACATTATGGTGTATGATGAGAGCATATCACTGAGATCTAGTTGGTTATTATAATAAAATACCCATATACTTTGATAACCAAAGGATTTGGTAGGGAGGTAAATGTAGGATGAGGATGGAGATTGGGCAGTTTGTGAAGTTTAGTGAACTGTCCTCTTTGGATTTGAAGTAGTTGTGTTTCTATTATGTAAGTGATGTGTGGAGTTTCTGGGTTAGCCCATCAACATAGTTGGCTGCTGAGGGGTGTTCGTGTTGGACTGCTGCCATTGTTCTGATTTGTTGGGCCGGACCCTTTGGCTTGTTCAAGGTGGTTTTTCCCAAATGCCAAGCTTTGCACTGCTTGCTTGCCTCATGAAATGTGTGTATCTTTTTCTTTGTAATTATTTTTACTAGTCTTTATTTTGTTACTATTTCTGGGTCGTCTCGGAGGTCATTCAGGATATGGGGGGGGGGGTCTTAGGAAGTTAGGGTTATGAATATATCCAATGACTTTGTTGAAGGACTTTTCTTCTGGTTTATATGCAGGAGTTCTAGGCTTTCAAAACCACTTGTATTAATAATTTTGAGGGTTTCTTCAGGGTCAAGGATGATGAGGCATTTAATTTTGTACAGTTACCTTCTTGAGAGGTTGCAGAGTCAAGTGCTTATCAATCTTGGCTTGTGTGCAGGAGAATTGGTTGGTGGAGGGGTTGTGTGTCATCCATGGTGGTCAACTAGTAACTGATGTCCTGTTGGCATCTTGTATTCATTTGATTCATTTTCAAGATGGTAACCGACTGCTAGAGCCATGTGCTGGACACCCAGTAAACATCGTGGGAGTCGTAAATTTTAATCGGTGCTTCTCATCTTCTATAAGCACACAGACAGGCGTCTATTGTTTGAGGGTGACAGCAGCAATTTAAGGGTTTAAAAGTAGTTTTGAAGTGCCTATAAAAATCGGAGTCCATCTTCACAGCATAAATTTTTGAGGATTTGATTAAAAAAAAATTTTAATTTTGTTGCCTGACTGGTAATCTTGTTTCACTCCCGTTGATTGGAAATGGAGTGAGATGTAAACCATATAAAAATATATAATTTGTTATATTTTCTTTCAGATAGCTATATCTTATTTTTGTTTTTTCCGTCTTAATCATATATTTCTATTCTTTTCTGTAAAGAGAAAAGCTAATTGTAAACTAATTTTAATGTTCTTCCATTGTATGACAGACTGAAGTGTCCGGTCCTAAAAGAGAAAAAATAAGCAAGCAGAAACGAAAACGGCGGCGACGGGAGATCAAAGTATCTGAAGATGAATGTTTTAGATGTGGTGGCCCAGGTGATCTTATTCTTTGTGACATTTTTTCCTGTCCCAAAGGTTATCACCTTGAATGTTTAGGGCTTGATAAATTACCTAGAGGTAAGGCAAAAGATTGAAATTTGTTTTATGATAGCAGAGTTTTATTTCATTGAGTTATACTTTATTTTATGATAATAAACCACCCTCGGTTTGAATTGCAGGGAGGATAGAAAACTTACATGAACAGAACTTGAATATTGATTTTAAGTCGTTCCCCCAAATAAACATTGTATAGGAAATGGATATTATATTCATGTTCAAAATTGTTCTTGAGCGAAGAGTACAGTTCAACAGGAGAGGGATTGTGTAAGGCTGGCAGAGAGAGAGGTTGAGGCATCCCTTTTACACGCCAACAATGTTAAACTCTACTTTTCTCAATTTTACATATTCTAATTTCAGTAATTCTATTTCATGTCACATTATATTTTGTGGGATAATTTTAAAAATATTTTAGCTGTTAAGAGAAACATATAATGGTTATATATTAATACATAGTACAATTTAGTTTTTTTTTTTATTATAAGGAGACTGATTATGCCATTGGCTATTGAATAAAGCGATCAATGCTCTCACTACATGGTGTGAATTTACTGTTATTTATGGTTTATGGCATAATAGAACTGGTTGTATTGATGGTTGTTAGTTTGTTCTTGCCCTCAATAGCTTATGGGTGCATTAGTTCGGGTACTACAGACATACCCACAAAACTGCTGGGCTTCTGGACTTGTGCAGGTCACAAGGATCACCAGGATTAAAATTTGGGGTGCTCAGAGGAATGTGGAATATCATAGATCAACCTTAAATTAAGACTTAAGTAAATCAGCCTATAAAGCACAAATTAAGGGGGGAAAAACTGATCTTGATTAAAGAGAAAAATGTGGAAACAAACAGTAGTAGTTTGCCCAGTGTCTTCAAACCATGCACTTAGTATCTAATTTAACACCAACTGGCAGCTCAGGTCACTCAAGGTCTCTCCTGTGGTAATACTGTATTTATTCATATCATATGTACTAATGTACTAGAAAAAACTCATAGCCTTAATCAACAGTTATACACTACAAAATTAATTAAACTTTATCTACGATTCAAACATAAGTATTTATGGTTTTATCTCTACAGGTAAATGGATATGCCCATGGCATCACTGTGATGAATGTGGACAACGGAGCACACGCCTTAATCGCTGCGACTTCTGCCCGAACTCATTTTGTCGTGTACATCTTGAGAGCAACCTCCAACACATACCTGGCATCGGCAGCGTGTGCCACGATCATAATTCACAAGATCTAGAAACGGTGATTTGAAAAGCAGCTGACTTGTTACTGTGTGAACATAATTTAGTTATGTTTCCATGAGTGTCAAGTTAATTTTATTGTTTTGTAATCTACTTAAAATTTTATGTATTACTAGCTTTTCAATCATGACGTACTTTAATAATGATACAGTATTTGGTTTTATTAAATAATCATGGAGTTGCTTTACTTTCCAATGAGGCAGCCCATATTTTAATAAATATTTTACTTATCTCCAGATTACCATTCATTACATTGCATTGAAGAGTTTAGTTTTGCTCTTGATCTGTTTCCTTGTTCACTTTCAAATCTTGAAACATGAGGAAGTGTCCACATTTAGGACTTGCCTCACATTCCAAATGCTTTCAAAATTTGACCCTTCTCGGTGAATCTGAATCACTTGTCTAGAATTTAACATTTAAAGATTTGAATGGTGAAATATTGGCTTCATAAATGTGTGACGGATATAAATAGGGCTTAGCATTGCCTCCTTGAAATATGGTGTAGTTTCACAGAAGTTTCCCCTGTGTATATTTCAATGCAGGTGTTACTCTATATAATTCTGTAATTTAATTCTCATTCAGTCAACATAAATATTCTCTGATTAGTGGACATGTTTTTATATACTGTATAATTATTTAGTGTATTCCATCCTACTGTTGTAATTATAACTTTAATAAAAACCCACACTTATGTATTTGTGAAATCTCTGTAAAGATTTAAAGATGTAAGTCTCATCCTATCCACATACTCAGACCTTGACAAAGCACTCAGGAGTGTGTGAAAGACTTGGTGTAAATCTTTACATAAATTTCAGAAATAAATTAGTGTGGGTTTTTATTCTTTGTGATGTCTGTGAGAAGACATTACCATTGCTTATAACTTAAATAATAATTTATTATCTTCAGGTCATAATTTAATTTGGATAGCTTCACATTCAGTAACCTCGATATACTGCCAGATAACATCCAGTCAGGTTAATCAAATTGTGTTAATGAAATATAAATTCTTTAGGTTTATTATAGTAGTTGACCTTCCATTTTATTCATTAATTTCAACCAACTGAATTTAAGTGTATCAGGTGGTTTCAAATAACAAAAATTCCTTCATAGATAAGAAACTTAGACCTTTTCTATTTTCAGCTCAGAGGTCGGATGGAAATAACAGCAGTGACTGAAAAAGTTACATGCATGCCAAAGAAGTTGGAAATTGAAGATCCGGCAGTTGTCATGACTGAAGGAAGTTCTCAATGTACAATGAATACTGATTCATGTAATGTAGTGAAGTGCTCTCATAATGGCAGTGTTCATGTCCCCTCCAATGATATTTATGTAGATGCATTGGAATACAATGCCAGCACTAAGCCACAGGATGAAACTGACCTACATTCCCCTCAGGGAAAAATAACTGTTCTTCCTTTAAGAATGAAGACGGGTTCTGGAAGACCTTCGAGGCTCTCCAGTGTCGGAGATGGACATGAGAATAGCTCTGCTGTTATTAATGTTGCTGGGGATGGAGAGGCAGGTAAAACACCAATGAAACAAAAGCTGAGAGAGAGAAGAGTACCGATAAGAGGATTATTAGTCCAAAGAAACGGTATGTTGCGTAGAGTACACAAGTCGGAGGATAATTCTAAACAGGTGAACGAATCATGATTGTTGGTACTGTTAAAATTTACACAAGTTAATTTTCAAGTTAATTATTGATTATAGGTGATCAAAAGTGTAAACAAGATTGGTGTTATGTATTAGAATAAATTTTTCCAACTTACCAAACCAAATATATTTATTTTTATTTTTTTGTCTCTACAGTGAAGAAACTGCAGCACAAGTTGTTAGGTTCAGTGGTAGGGTTTTAGTTGCTTAGAAGCTAGTCGAACATCTGTTGTTTACAGGTGAACACAAAACTTAATGATGGTATTTATTTTGTTAACATATTGCCAGTTATCATTTTAATCATCATTTTATTTTAGCTATAAATATCAGTTATTATTCCTCTGTCATCTATCTTTTATTTTCCTTCAGTGATTTTTGATACTTTTCTCTCGACATGACAGCTTATGTAATTTATGAAACATTAGTTTAATATAAAGCCTCATTATTCTTATATTTGACTGTTTATGCCTCTTGATTATATATAATTTAAACAAAACTAGTATCTTTGATTTAACTAAAAATAAATTAGTTATTCAGAGATTATTGTAAGATAAACTATTTTGTCCCTTTTAATATAATGTAAAAGATTTTATAAATAGAATTAGGTGTTTGTGGGGGTTGACATGTATTACATACAAATCTTAATGTATTAGAGACTGTTATTACTTTTTTCTATTTTACAATGCACATTTTCTCAAGTACTTTCATATTGACTGTCAAGAGTTCATAAAATGTCTTCAATGGACAATAAACTCCCTTTATTAGGTTCGTTTTTTGTGAGCTTTGTCCTTAAATTTAAATCTTTGATGTATTTATAAAGGCCTGTTAATGTATATAGCCAGAATTATTTATATTTAAAGATTTATTTCTGTATGATTATTTTGGGAGGGGGGGGGTGAGAGTGGAGGTGTTTGAAGTAATTTCTCATATTGGCTGATCTCTATCTGACGATCATGTATCTGTTGTGAATGCTTGTTTCTCTAATAATAAGCACTGTGCTCATTTGCCAACCATCTTTCATCCTGGAAAATGTGCTATTGAAGATTTATTTGTGCTAGCTAACCTACAGTTCACTTTGTCATTTTGAAAGTATACATCTGTAGAACCAGATTTTGAAATCTACACAATTTCCCACGTTGTACACAATGCACAGTCAGATGTTATGAATATCAAGCTGCATATTGTTAAATGTGGTATATACTCATGACCATCCTCCTTCAGCTATAAGTGGTGGGAAATGGCTCTGGCTGCCTGTACATTGACCACTTGTGCTAAACTGATGGCCACTTATTGTGAGCAACAACCTTCTCCTTATTGTCTAAGCTACATTGTTTCACTTAGTCATGAACTTCCTTGCAGAATGTCTTGGTATGCAGGATAATTGCAGATCTTGCTTAGCAAATGTTACTTGTCTTTCAACAGAATCCTTGGTGAATCAAATGTCTTTGACAGTATTTGTGTGTTTTAATCTGATATTGCCATATTGAGAATATTTAGGCCCTTTTGTCGATGCAGCAAAAGTACTAGTTTCCAGGTATTGGTACTTTCTTCGATAATTACTTCAATAAATGTCTAAAGAAAAAGAAGTTACGACATTGTTACTGGCACTATATTGCCTTAGTACTTGACAAAAGTTCACTGACCTCAGTTGTATTAAGATAGCTTTAATCAAAACCAGTTTTCCAACTTCACAAGTTGTATTTTGAAACTTTTTTTTGTGTTGGAATATATGTATTGTTTGCTTCTCATTCTTCATGATGCACAGGGTCCTTTACTTATGAAGAGCCTCCAAAGTATTTTTTTTCTATTTGGAGCTGTTATACAATCTTCCTCTATCATCCCTTGTAGCATGAGTGTCTACAATTGATGATATATTTGTGTGGGGGTGATACAAAAGTATCCAAGAACTGCACTGCTCTAGTCAGCAGTATTCTTGTGTCTGGTGAATTTTTTAATCAGGTTTTGTTAACAGTTTGAATTTAAAAATTTGCTTGGTAAACTTTGCCCATTTAGTGTGGTAAAAAAGTTTGAATGTTTTCTTTATTAGTGCTTGAAATTACTTTTTAATGGTTTCCCTAATTGGTCATGGCTTGAAAAAAAAAAGTTGTCTTGGGGAAGGCCATTTTCAGATCCATGTTTATTCCTCTGCTGCTTGTATCTGTATAAGTAAATGGTACACTGCCATTTCTCTCTCCCAGCATATTTCCCTTTTTCTTCCCGATCTTAGCCGCCTCTTTGACTTGTTACTGGAACCTGTGCCTTCGGGTGGTATTAACTGTCGGCATGCCCTCTAGGGTGATGCTCTGATGAATACCTGATGCCGTCTTCTGGAACTTTTCATCCTTCCTTCTCCATTGTTTCTTCTGAATCTCAGAAAGCTCACACACTTGCACGTTTCCTGAATTGATCTATCCCTATGCTCATCTTCTGTTTATATAGACATCGTGGAGGGTCTTCAACGACCTTCATAACAGTGGCCACATTCCCGATTCTCTTTACCATCTTTTCTTTTCACCCTCCTCTTTCATTTCCTTGGTTGTGTCTGGAAGAAAATCCAGAAGATTGCTGGTAAGTTTGTACCAGACTTATCACCTGTCCATCTCCATGGTTTCGTTGTGGCAGATCCAGTGTTGGTCATGGATGAACTAGATTGCACTTTTCAGCCATTAGCTCCAGTGCTCGCCTTCCTCTTATTTTCCTTATTCATAAACCCCTTTCTTGAGTCTTGTCCCTTGGTTTTTCACTCTCTCCTCCAGCTCCCCTATAATTGTCAGACCTCCAGTCTGCCGTGCCATTGTGGTTCTGTGGCAACAGGCTCGGGTGGCATTCATTATCAGATGCTTCACCTTCTTCCTCATGATGCCTTTCAGTATTAATAAATACTAGTATTTATAATTAGATTTGAGAGACATCAGTTTCCAAAGACTAGCTTGAGATGGTTGTTTGGAAATCCAGTTCTCTATGGACCTTCCCTTAGGATTTTTGTCCCATTTCCCTTACAAGTTACGTCTGTAAGCTTTCCAAACGTATGGTCAATGTATCATGTGGTTTTTAGAACACTATACCTATTCCCCCCTCTTAATTTGGCTTTCATAAGTGTCACAGTATGTTGAATTAAGGCCTAGAGGTCTACCTTTGTTCTGCTCCTACCGCAAAAACCTTTGGTTGCTGTTCTTCCCGACTTGCAAAAAGACTTATGACAACACCTGGAGGTGCAATATTTCAACCCATCCTGTTTAGACTACTTTTTGTAACTATGTGCACCATAGTACAAACATTGATGTACTAAGCAATTAGTTGAACTTTGTACTATTCACCTTATAGTCTGTCTGTCTCTCTATCTCTATCTCTATCTCTATCTCTCTCTATCTCTCTATCTCTCTATCTCTATCTCTCTATCTCTCTATCTCTATCTCTCTATCTCTCTCTATCTCTCTCTATCTCTCTCTTATCTCTTTATCTCTCTTTATCTCTCTTTATCTCTCTTTATCTCTCTTTATCTCTCTCTATCTCTCTCTATCTCTCTCTATCTCTCTTTATCTCTCTCTATCTCTCTCTATCTCTCTCTATCTCTCTCTATCTCTCTCTATCTCTCTCAATCTCTCTCTATCTCTCTCTATCTCTTTATCTCTCTTTATCTCTCTTTATCTCTCTCTCTCTCTCTTTATCTCTCTCTATCTCTCTTTATCTCTCTTTATCTCTCTCTCTTTATCTCTCTTTATCTCTCTTTATCTCTCTTTATCTCTCTTTATCTCTCTTTATCTCTCTTTATCTCTCTTTATCTCTCTTTATCTCTCTTTATCTCTCTTTATCTCTCTTTATCTCTCTTTATCTCTCTTTATCTCTCTATCTCTCTTTATCTCTCTTTATCTCTCTTTATCTCTCTTTATCTCTCTTTATCTCTCTTTATCTCTCTTTATCTCTCTTTATCTCTCTTTATCTCTCTTTATCTCTCTTTATCTCTCTTTATCTCTCTTTATCTCTCTTTATCTCTCTTTATCTCTCTTTATCTCTCTTTATCTCTCTTTATCTCTCTTTATCTCTCTTTATCTCTCTTTATCTCTCTTTATCTCTCTCTCTCTCTCTCTCTCTCTCTCTCTCTCTCTCTCCCCCCCCTCCCCCCCCCCCCCCCCCCCTCCCCTCTCCCCCCCCCCCCCCCCCCCCCCCCCCCCCCCCCCCCCCCCCCCCCCCCCCCCCCCCCCCTCCCCCCCCCCCCCCCTCCCCCTCCCCCCCCTCCCCCTCCCCCCCCCCAAAAAAAAAACACGTAAATATTGCTAAGCCTAATATAGCACACTCTTGCACTATATTAGGCCTAGGAAGGTTAGGTTAGGTAGAGTTTGTCTGCAAAATGAGTAGAAAATAGTTTTCCGGTTTGTCCAAATTCAATAGTATCGACTGCATTTCTAATTTCTAATTGCGTTGCTTGTCGGTCTATGTACTATGGTCCTCGTCCTTCCTGTAAGTAATATCAAAACAGAAAGATGGGCCGAATGTTTTGACCTAGCTTCATTCTTCTGTCCTTCATGGCAATCTCCCACTTTTCCTTCATTCCTCTTATGTTGTTCCTTCATTCCTCTTATGTTGTTCCTTTAAAGTGTGACTTTGTGCCATCTTCTCTGCCTCTTTTTCACCAATTTGAAGGTGTTTCTCCAAGGATGATCCTTTCAGTCCTGAGCAGTCTCAGGTAGTGTTTTGCTTCCTAAATGTATCTCGTGGTCAGTTGTCCGTATTGATGGTGCTACATAGCCTCCGTGGCTTTGTTTTTTTTTTTTTTTTTTTTTTTAAGTACTTTGGGAAAGCTATTCACCATGCTAAAAATAAAATTATCACTTTTATTTTGAATTGGATGTAATTTTGTTCACCAGGTGTGTGGGGCTGCCTTTAAAAAATAAGGTTCAGTGGCTGAGATGTGGGAAACATGATGGTAAAATCTACTTACAATCAGATTTGGTAAAATTCACCCTTAGAGCATGGAAATAAGAAGGGTTGGCATTTTTTAGTTTAAATTTGCTCAGTGAGTTCTGAAGTTGCACTATTATCAAGTAAAATACTAACAAAAAAAAAAGTATTCTAGAGTAACTAGTGATAATGAAGACAACCAACAAAGATTTTTGTACCTCTTCCTTTAGAAAATAGGCCTCTTTACTGTTCTAAAAGCACAGACAAGCTGTGAAACTCCATCATTCAAGGTAAATATTAGTTTATTTCATTTACCCAGAAAATTTGTGCTATATACTGTGTTAATTTAGTGTGGTCTGTGAATACATCTCTATAGCATTGCACCGGTTGGTGCCTCTTCGAGCCTGGCCGGGCTTGGGGAGTAGAACTGTCAAGACCCCCCTTCAGATAGTATAACAGTGCGATCCTGAATGTAATATTGCTCAATCCTCGCTGGCGAGGTTGCAGAGTTGGAAAATAAGATGATTCTTTACTGCTTGCATAGAATGTATGAAGTACAAACTACAGCACTTGAGTCTGCCAGAAACCATTACTTGTACTCTTCGGAAAATGTATGCACCGGAAGTACTAGGTTAGGTGGTAAATCAAAATAAAAGGTACAACATGCTGGAGTGAGAAATATGGAAAGTGTAGAATTTATCCAGCATAAACTCAGGGTGCCATACACATTTAGAAAATGGTGAACTCGAAGACTTCAATCTCCTGCCCAAGAAAATTCAAGAAATATAATCAAAAGTAGAAACTTTCCAAAGATGTTTGGCAAGTTTGTTGGAGGTACTGGAGCAGTCTTAAGGCTACCAAAACA